AGTAGGACGTTAAACCCCATTTCATTTCATTAGCTCGGATGGTGCAATAAGGTAAGGCATTAAACCCTATTTCATCTCTAATTAGGCAGTGGAAGTTAATGAGGGTAGTAATTAGCTAATATCCCGTCTCAAACGGGTGACATCAGATTGGGTGTTAATACCAATCAGTGGCAGGTAGCATGATGACATGTTTGTCCGTATGAAATATTAAATATATAAAAATAACTGTCATGTCCAATTAAATCATGCGATCGATTTGCTGCATAAAAGAAATATGGTAATTCCATTTGTAGGTGATGACGTGTGTTTTGTTCAGTCACGTGCGTTATGCCGCGTTATCCGTTTTTATTACGATGACGAGTAATGAATACCATAAAGATTATGTACAATTGCAGTCAGACCTGCCATGAGCACCGGGTGAGTGGGTAGGGGGGTAGTTATGCAAAGACGCGTGCGGGTGTGTACACATGCACGTCATTTACATGACAGCGACGCTAAGGCTTACTCTAATTTCAATTTCCCACGGTCAAAGGAACTGTGACGTGTATACGAAACTAACGCTGTTTGTCTACAATTAGCCCCGCTTGAGGACAGACACTAACCGACATTTTAAGTGGGTTTCTCACTAAAAAAAAAGTGGGATTTCGCCTGTGTTGTTTATATGTGTCGAACTCATCGATTATGTTTTTGGGTTTTTTTTCTTTATTAAATGTGTTTAGTTACTGTCGTGAGACGGGAAGTGTAGGCGTAGACTATATCTATAGAGTATGTCACAATAAACGGCTAAACTTTATAATAACATACTTGTTCTACTGAATGTCAGAACATGACATATATAATGGTCTATATTCAAATTGTTTGAAGTTTGAAACATACCTCTAGAACCAAACAATTTTCAATAATTATATTTTTAATGAACTTCTGATATTTGCCCAGAATATACCTCACAATGCACCAAATCGAATCTATTTTACCAACGTTTTTCTGAGAGGGGGACCCTCACACCCCGATGCCGCATCAGACCCTACTCCTTTTTTCTTAATTTAGCCCACCCCCACCATTGACTTGTCCCCCCACCCCCACGCACACAAGGATAGTTCTGAATATAATGTTCTTAAAGATAATCTAAATAAATTAAGCTGATTAGTATAGGATAGGAGGGGGTGGGTCATATTTTATAAATCTAATTAGATACGATAAAATTGTAGAAGCCGGTTTTTAAGTTTAATTCATAACGTCTATAACGACAAACTGTCGGTTAACCCCAAGAGAGCCCCTCGTTTCAAGTGAAGTTTACATACTATTGAGTGCGAAAGATTTGTGGCTATAAGATTTGCTGTATGAATCACTGTAGGTAATTAGGGAGGAAGGAAGGATGGAGAACATTAAAGCCACGTTGACTATTTCAATAAGGAAACTTTCCATTTTCTAAAATAGAAATATTCGAAAAGAGACAGGACAATTTGTCCCATTTTGCCCCCCACCCACCCCTCTAGATCCGGTACTGATTATAATTTGAAGCATAAGATAAGATAAGATAAGATTTTATTGTATCATTTCATCCAGCAAGGATAGCATATACAGTTTAAACGAAAGGTCGATTATACAATTATAACATAACATCTGGGATTATCATTTATGGATCTACAATGTGATATAATAAGACATTTATGTGTAATGACGCTGGCTCGTTAACCAGGAGTGGTGGGGCGAATAGTTAGCACGTTCGCACTGTATCATTGTATCATAAGGTCTGTCATTGAGTCAACTGTCCAACCTCGTGAGTTTCTCCGGGTCCTCCGGTTTCCTCCCACTGCTAAAGACCCTTACGCGCAAGCGTATTATTGAAATAAAATTGAACCATGTGTTAGTCCCAAAATGACCTAGTTTGTGTCGAGTGGACGTTAAACCCCACCCCTCTCTCTCTCTCTCTCTCTCTCAGGGGGGTTGGATGGCTGAATGGTTAGCGTGCGCGCGCTGTATCATAAAGTCTGTCATTGAGTCGACTGGCGTGGTTTCGAATCCCCAGTTGTACGTGGCAAGGAGTAGGGTCGCCTTCCAACCTCGTGGGTTTTCTCCGGGTCCTCCGGTTTCCTCCCACTGCTAAAGACCCCTAGGCGCAAGCGAAATATTGAAATAAAATTAAACCATATGTTAGTCCCGAAATGACCTAGTTTGTGTCGAGTGGACGTTAAACCCCATTTCTCTCTCTCTCTCTCTCTCTCTCTCTCTCTCTCAATCTGTCTCTCTCTCTGGTTCGAAACCAAAACCGGTGTTGACTTAGATACTATCATATAATCCCGAAACCAAGTGTCCATCCGATACTTCCTAGCAAAATCTATTTGATTCATGTTTTCCATTTCCAGGGAAAAGGACAGAAATGAACAGCCAACATCTACAGACAGGGAAAGTAACACAATGATCCTCTGTGTATGATTTAAATATTACGGAAAAATATAATACTATTATGAAAAAAGGAAACAAATTATATGTGCACGCTTCTAATTTTTATTGTTTAGAATTTTAAAAAGTAAACTTCCGTCAAATATACCGCGAAAATACAAGTAAGTCGGGTACATAATTTATATTTCAACATAACACCTATCATAAGTAACTGGGGGTTGTCCCCACTTTAATACACAAACCGCGTAATCTGGGGAGCAGTTCTTTAATACACCAATCGCGTAAATCGGGGAGTAGTCCTTTACTATACCAATCGCGTAAACTGGGGAGTAATTCTTTACTACACCAATCGCGTAAACCGGGGAGTAATTCTTTACTACACCAATCGCGTAAACCGGGGAGTAATTCTTTACTACACCAATTGCGTAAACCGAGAAGTAATCCTTTACTATACCAATCGCGTAAACCGAGAAGTAGTCCTTTACTTCACCAATCGCGTAAACCGAGAGGTAAACCGGGGAATAATCATTTACTACACCAATCGCGTAAACCGGGAAGTAGTCCTTTACTACACCAATCGCGTAAACCGGGAAGTAGTTCTTACTACTCAAATCGCGTAAATCGGGAAGTAGACCTTTACTATACCAATCGCGTAAACCGTGAAGTAGTCCTTTACTAGGCCTACACCAATCGCGTAAACCGGGAAGTAGATCATCACTACACCAATCGCGTAAACCGGGAAGTAGTCCTTTACTACACCAATCGCGTAAACCGGAAATCACACCTTTCCCTTTAATACACCCATCGCGCAAACCGGGAAGCACACCTTTAATACGTAAACCGGGCTGCAGTCCTTTAATACATCAGTCGCGGGGAGTAGTCCTTTAAATTAATACATCACTCTCACTCAGTTAATAACATTTTCTATGATACATCATAATACATTTCTATAGATACTACATGGGTTTGGCTTGAACGCTTGGGTGGTCGAGCTAGTTTGACTTGTCATCTTAATATAGTGGGAAGGATAACAACTTCTTTCCTGCTGTCAATCAAAGAGCAATTTCACTATGTTACGAATGGTTAGTTACATGAATGAATCAATCAATCAAAAGAATGAATGGGCTGGAAACAAAAAAAAACTACATCAAAGGGAGAACCTTTGAAACCCTGTAGATTTTATGGGTTTATGCATCTCACCTAATGCTGTTTAAAGCTTTGCGTGCCTTGTAATTACGTATATTATAAGAATAAAGCATAGCGTGATATAAGTTCAAATATATATTAGAGTTGTTGAAAGATTGGTACTATTTAAATTATGTAAAATTATACCCGTGGTTTATTTTATTGTCAGATTTAAAGGTGTAGTGATGTGGATGACTAAATAAACCCCATTGCAAAAAGACCGACGCCCAGATTTTACTAGAAACTATATTTGCTATATTTCTGTTACATTTTGAATTTGTCCAACCTCGTGGGTTTTCTCCGGTTGTACGTGACAAGGAGTAGGGTCGCCTGTCCAACCTCGTGGGTTTTCTCCGGGTCCTCCGGTTAGCTCCCACTGCTAAAGACCCCTACGCGCAAGCGAATTATTGAAATAAAAAATTAAACCATATGTTAGTCCTGAAATGACCTAGTTTGTGTCGAGTGGACGTTAAAACCTATTTCTCTCTCTCTCTCCCTAATTGAACAATACATTTCACCATTTAGGTAAACCTAATATAATAGAAATAGAAATATTAATTTATTTGATATCGGAGAGTAAATGTGCAGAAAGACACGTTTTATGACATTATGAAGACGTAGACGTACATGGTTGTCTGGGGCTGTAGTATTCGCAAGTGGCTGTTGGTCGTTTCGAACACACGTAGGATAAAGACACGTAGTTCACATTAATTCCAAAAAGAATTGTAACATTTGCTTTATTTCTAAGATCCGGGTTAGTTTTTTCTAATACACTACAATATACGATAATCTCGCGTGTACGGATGGATTATATAAGATTAAGCCGGGTTATCAGTTGAAATGAAGAAATGTTAGCAAAGATTCGCACATAATTGTTACATAGTTGAGGATATTATAAGACGTAAGGATTAACCTTGAAATGACTTCAAGTAATATAAAAATATCGTAAATTGGATTGTATTTTGGAGAATAAAACTGCTTAAAAATATCGAAATGTTTATTATTAAGTGGGACACATGGAGACGGTTAAAGGACCAATCTCGGTTATATTTTGGAGAATAAAACTGCTTAATTTGGTGTTAAAAGCCCTTAAAATCCTCTACCTTAGAGTCGAGCAACTAACTTAATATACGTGATACGTGGACAAGCAGCTTAAACAGTCAGTCTTCACCCGGAAATGGAGACCGGTGTCCCAAGCTGTATTATACGGTGGCTGGATAAAACCAGAATTTTATTTTCTAAAAATAACGTGTAAGTCAGATTTACCTTTAGCTATGCATTGTATAGACCTTTTAAGGAACGGCAATAGATTATCAGGTCACCCAGCGAAATATTTGACCCGAAATCTTGAAAGGTTTACGTGTCCGGATACGCAGTGTTGACGTTCCCATCCAAACGACTCAATATTTTGTGCTGAAATTTTGAGACACGGTAAATACACCATTTCTCTATATTTTGGCGCTTAAATTTTATACGTACACAGACTTTTTATTTCTGAGAATCTGTTAAATTCGGAGTGGCCCGTTTAATGCGGAGTCGTTCAGATGAGACGAAAAACCGAGGTAGCATGTACACATTGGCGTTCACGTAAAAGATCCCTTGACAATTGGAATTTTATATAAGAGTAGGCCGTAGTGCCGCTGTCCGGGCAAAATTTCCCTCATAGCACACTGTATGGCGTATGCCCGTCTTCATTAGCGCAGTTCGGAGCAGAACAGTAGGACGTTAAACCCCATTTCATTTTATTTCATTTCCTTTAAGGCGATTTGTTGAAGTCAACTCGTTTCAATTATTAAGCGCCCTAGTTGGTCTTCAAATGTTCCTGATTTCCTAATTGTAGGTTTATTTGGTTATAAGAAGAGGAGGGGTGGGGTACGTCCTGTCGACATGAACTAAGCATTGGCAATAACACATGGTAAATGACTGACAACTCTTCCTCTATTCATTTCCTTTACCCGTATAACCACCCACCCCCTCGCCCACATAATATGTCCTGACCATTATTTACCATCCCAGAGGCTCTCCTCCTGGCGTCTAGACCATGTGTTTTGTTTTTCGTAGGTGTGTGCACGCTCGCGGGATCATTATTTACAGCTGTCAACGATCTTATGGAGTGCATGACAAAGTATTTGTTGTGTCTACGTTTAGGTACAGGTGCGTGTCCAGGTGGGGGGGGGGGGGGCAGGCGGGTCGGACACTCCCACTGACTCGCATTCGTGAATCGCCATTGCTCAAATACCCTGAGGTCTAATATGTAACATTATTAACATTAAATAATGTTATTCTATGGATGTTGCGCAATACCCACGAATGCTCAAAGTGCAGTCCTAAAACGACCTCGACTCTTACAAAGTGAATGTCTTAGACTAAACTCAACAATATCTGGGGAGTTTTTTTTGTTCTGTGGCAGTGCCATCAAAATAACGCGGAGTTTTAAATTGAGGAGTTGGGGGTTTGTTGAATCGTGTGCGTTAGATAATCAGGTCTGACATTGAGTAAAGTGGCGTGGTTTTGATTATCCGCTTGTACGTGACAAGGAGTAGGATCGCATGTCCAATATCAAGTCTCAATAAACTACGTTTTCGTCCTGTTAGTTACAAAATCAAACTGACTGAAAACGAGAGAGAAATGGTGTTTAACGTCCACTCGACACACATTAGGTCATTTCGGGACAAATAGGTGGTTAAATTTTATTTTAATAAAACGCTAGCGCGGAGGGGTCTTTAACTTTGAGAGGAAACCGGAGGAGAGCGAGAAAAGGTAGTTCTTTGAGAATTGATGTTATGTGCCTATAACGAGGAGCAAGAGATATCCTGGCTGCTGTGTTCTGGATTCTTAGGGAGAAGATGGTGCATAAACCCAACACGGATATCTTGTCTGCAATACCAAAATGACGATCCTAAATAAATAAAACCTGTAACGTCCACTGGTAAACGATTAAAATAAATAATCCGCTTTGCAACGTGATCAATGTACTAATATGCTTCCGTCAACCGTCGAAACCGTTGTAGATGTATGTCTTATCTACCTTACAGTAAACTTTATCCCGTTGAAATATGTAACGTAAGAACTATTACAATCTGATTAAAACACGGATCCTATTTCGTTTCGTTTTTATAGTTCAAAATTTCCTTTTACTTGTCCTTACTAACTAGGATCTGGAAGAGTTGTTATCATGACGTGTTCCAAATGGTGTGAGGGATTAGCCAATGAAACGGTCTGTTACGGCGAGCTTTAGGGGGGGGGGGGTGCACGGAACTGTGAGTAATACACTAGTAACATAAATGCTGATTGGTTAATCAAATGTCTGATGTCATAGGGTCAAAGGCCGCTCGTATGGCCTGACGCGACCTATCGCTACAACAGGTCAGATCTTCATGTAGTGTAGGCCATCGAAAGTATAAAAAAACGAAACGAAATATAGATCTGGGCCCTGTTTCTCGAAATTTTAACTAAAGATAAAATCCAATTTTAGTAGATACCTAAATTTTGATTGGCTAGGAACTAAAATCAATCTAATATTATTCAATCAAATTACTAAAATTTGGATTTTATCTTAGCTAAAATTTCGTGAAACAGGCCCCTGTTTTTTAAGCAGATTGGGACAATAGCGAAATACGTCACCGGCCACGTTGTGTATATATTCCTCTTTATGGCCGTTACTACAGATCATATAAGCCCATTCAGCATGTTTTCATGATACATAAGGAGTAGGGTCGCCTTCCAACTTCGTGGGTTCTCTCCGGGCCCTCCGGTTTCCCCCCACTGCTAAAGACCCCTACGCGCAAGCGAATTCTGGAAATGACATAGTTTGTGTCGAGTGGACGTTAAACCCCATTTCTTCCCCCCCCCCTCTTTCATGATACATGATACTTTCAGTGTAAATGACCTCATTTGACCTTTTTGGGCGCCGAATATCTCGAAAACGCCCCAACGGCGGAGAGATTACCACTCGGCATCGTATTCTATGCAAAATTTTGCTCTAGAAAAGTTGGGTCTGGTTTTGTGCCCATTTGAAGGACACACCCCTGCGAACTGAGTCCCGGATATATTTCAAATTCTTTGATTCAACAGATTAAAGTCTATATCACCATTTTACGGATAGTAAATATTAAATCTCTAAATGGAATATCAGCCCATAAGTGGTTGAATTCCGTTCAGTATATACAAAGATATGATGAAATTAAAATTTGTCCACATTAAGCGTCCACTGGAGACGACATTATAGGACAGATGGTCAAAGCCAGTCAGCACCAGCTATAATTGTTGTTGAAATCTATTGGTTGGTTAATCCGATTAAATCCAAGCCGTGAGATTATCTAAAGTTGTTATATTGATTTTGTTTCCTTTATTGAATGTTAATTAGAGTTAATTTTAGATTGGAAATGAAATGAAATGGGGTTTAACGTCCAACGGACATACGCGATACAGTGTACTGTGAGGGAAATTTTACACGGACAGCGGCTTTACTCTTATATCAAATTCTAACTTCTAATGTGTACACGGGACCTCGGTTTTTCGTCCCATCCGAACGACTAGACAACTCACAGGGGGAACCACGCCGGGATATCCCGAGGAACCTTCTCGCCCAACACCGGGAACAAACCCGCGACCGCCCGGCTAGCGAGCCAAAGCCTTACCCACTTAGCCACCGTGGCCCCCAGATGGTTTGAATACCCCTTTGTTAGGTGTTTATTACCTGAACCGTGGCTCTCATTTTAAATTGGATTAAGCCGTGAAAAATTAGATATTGTCCGAATTACAATCAGTGACTTTAAATTTATTTCGCTCTAGCAGATTTTGGTTAAGTCCAATTTCAAGTTTGGTCAAAGGTCACGAGATGTAAACAGGGCTAGTGCTAATTTCAAACCTTACCTTAACTCTGGACCTAGCCCTAATGATTACCTACAATCTCGCCAACAATTGTTGTTGTTCTTTGTGCCTAACGCCTGCTTCCATCGAAGGTGATATCGCAGACAAGTCTTATTTTCACGACGTCCCTGTCTCCAAGCCACATACGCTCACACCAGGGACCACAACCGCAAGCCAGAGGTATCGGCCAGCTAGAGGTCGAAGCGCGACACCCTAGACCACTAGGCAAGCCCTTATTTACATCTCAGCGACTTGACGAAAATTGAGCTGGGCTTAACAAATAGATTTAGACTTTGGATTAGTGTTTATGCGTTGATTAATTCGCCTGGTACCACTTGCGGAATCTCACTTCAGGAGAATATATTAATGCCGTGAAAAAGAACTTTACATGACCTTGTAATCCAAGTTCGTGTAAAGTTTAATTCTACCCCTTGCTGACAATCGCAGCAGACCACAATTTAACGGAAACATCAATAACAAATCAGGGACAAAGTTTGGAACTATAATATTTCCTTGAAATTGCGAATAGACAAATTTAAACAGATTTTAACAAAATCCATGTACTTTAAGACGAAAACGTTTTAAAAATTCGGAATAGGGCGTGGATTAACGCACTTCTAATCCGCCCCAGAACAACGAATGATAACCCTGCTTTCCTTTGTGTAATTTAACTTCTCAATCTGCTGACTTCCGTGCTATATTTTCTCTGTGATCTATTCTTCCAGTTTGGGGTTGCCGATATTGTCCTGTAAAAGAAAAAAAACTTTGTGGTAACAAATTTCATTTATCCCAATCTACACCACATCCCCAATAGTTGAACACAGTGCCGGATTAAGACATTTAGAGACCCAGTTTAGTTTACGAAAATATAATGGCTATATATATTCTGACATTTCTCGAACAATCCAGACCAGTGGTTCTTTCCTTAATAACAAAAATGAAATGAAATGAAATGGGGTTTAACGTCCTACTGTTCTGCTCCTAACCTGGGCTAATGAAGACGGGCATACGCCATACAGTGTGCTATGAGGGAAATTTTGCCCGGGCAACGGCACTATCGCCTACTCTTATATCGAATTCCAACTGCCAAGGGATCTTTTACGTGCATTCCAATGTATACACGGGACCTCGGTTTTTCGTCTCATCCGAAGGACTAGACAGCTGTCCTTGTCAGGCCCTCCGTCCTGCATCACTGACAAGGGGGAACCACGCCGGAAAATCTGGATGAACTTTTTCGGTCAATGCAGGGATCGAACACCCGACCTCCAGGCTAGCGAGCCAGCGCCTTACCTATGCCTTAATAACCAATCTGCATAAATGAAACCAAGCTTCAAGATTTTAGTTCGAGTGACGTAGCCGGATAGAAGATTTTGGTGCCCCCATATAGTATACAGTTCAAAATAAACCATAAACAATCCGTCAAGTTCGTGGGTTGAGTATTTTTGAGGTTTTATGCACGCCATTATATATTGAGACAACGAAGGTGACAGTAAGAAAAGACAAAAAACAATGAATCTTGATTAATTATTAAATTAAATATTTTGAATTCGTCATCTAACAAAGCAGAAATTCTTTGGTGCACGTGCTTATTTTGTGTTATGGTTAACCAGCCATTTTGGGCATCTATCTTTGCGTTATTAAAGACTCACCCTAGAGATACACTGATTACGACTAGTAATTGTTTCCCCTGATCTCACGATAGAGAAATCCTCTCCCGCCGCACCCCCACTCCGTATATGGCTAAATCTATTTGTTAAGGCCAGTTGAATTTTTGTCAAGGTCACTGAAATGTAAATAAGGTTAGGGCGCGTGGTTGTGGGTTAGGTTTAGGGTAAGCATTTAGGGCTAGGTCCAGGGATAGGGTTGGGGATGGGATTAGCGCTAGCCCTGTTTGCATCTCGTGACCTATGACGAAAAATTGAGCTGACCTTATCATTTAGCACCCCCACCCACCCGCCGTATATGGCAATTCTCCCTTTCTCCCCCATCGTCAGCGCTCCATCGCATGGTATCTGTTGTTTAACTTTCGTCGAAGAAATGTGTTTGAATTTAAATTATCTGTCAGGTTTTGATGCATATTCAGGATTTAGAAACGGAAGTAAACAGACATTAATTAGGGATTTCGCATACTAAAATGACGTCACTATGACGTGACCCCCTTCAATATCTTTTATCAGATGATTGTGACATGTGGGGCTCTTTGTGGTTAAAAAGATTAATATCACCGGAATGTGATATGTTATAGACCACGAACGGTCATGGATTTAACAGTGCAGTCAACGGAGGAGAGAAGTGGTTAAAAAGATTAAGATCGCCGGAATGTTAAAAAGAAAATGTTATAGGCCACGAACTGTCATGGATTTAACATTGTAGTCAATGGAGAGAGAGAGAGAGTAATGGGGTTTAACGTCCACTCGACACAAACCAGGTCATTTCGGGACTAATATATGTTTTAATTTTATTTCAATAATTCGCTTGCGCGTAGGGGTCTTTAGCAGTGGGAGGAAACCGGAGGACCCGGAGAAAACCCACGAGGTTGACTAGGCGATCCTACTCCTTGTCACGTACAACCAGGGATTCGAAACCACGCCAGTTGACTCAATGACAGGCCTTATGATACAGCGCGCACGTGCTAACTATTCGGCAATCCAACCCTCCTGGAGTCAATGGAGGAGAAAATTAGTAGTTTACTCCATTCATATAAGTCGTGTTTCAAAACAGCTGGGGGGTAAAATCTATTGACAATGAACATACCAGTCAGTGATACACACGTTAGTTGTGACAAACATAGGCGTACGAGCTGGGGGGGCCCTTTTTGGACACCAATTGCTGGGAAAATTTGGGCACACAATTGTACTTTGTAAAAGTTGTATAAAAAAATATTGTGTTCTTGAATGCGTCCAATTTAACAGCGAATTTAAATTCAGAGTGTCTATAGTTAGGCAATTAAATAGAAATCTTAAGACTCGAACCCTCTATTGTTTGGAGTACAGTAAGCCACGAATTACAGTTACATAAACAACTGTTTTTAGTTGTGTATATTACAAGTAAATAAAATTTAGTTCTCTTTTATTGATGATTTAGAAATTAAGAACTTATTCATCGCAAAAGAGATATTATGATTATTATGTAACATACTAAGAACCTAACTACATTTTTGGGGCACCAACCACCACCGCCCCCCCCCCCCAGTAAAAAATTTCCCCGTACGCCTATGGTGACAACTAATATATGCTGTTTATTAAATTATAGGACATTGTGAAATAATAATCACTGTTTAAGTTGTGGATTACGTGAGAAAAGTCACATAGGCACACATTATTACATCTGTCCTATATGGCTGGTTTGAATGACCGATCCTTCTATGGAAAAATCTAGAAGATAATCACCAATGGAAGGGATGCAGAAATGGGATTTAACGTCCACTCGACATAAACCAGGACAATTCGAGATTAATACATGGCACACTCCAATTTCAACAATGCGCTGGCTTGCGGGAAGAAATTAAATGGGGTTTAACGTCCCACAGTTCTGCTCCGAACTGGGCTACTGAAGACGGGCATACGCCATTCAATGTGCTATGCGATAAATTTTGCCCGGCCTACTCTTGTGTCGAATTCCAACTATCAAGGGATCTTTTACGTGCACGCAAATGTGTACACGAGACCTTGGGTTTTGTCCCATGCGAACGACAAGACAACTGTCCTTGTCAGGCCCTCCGTCTTGCATCAGTGACAAGGGGGAACCACGCTGGAAAATCTGGATGAACTTTCTCGGCCAATGCAGCTCACGGGAGGAAACCCAGAGAATTTCCAAGATCACCACAGCACAGGCCTGGGATTGAAACCACGCCACTTGACTCAATGACAGACATTAATTGCGATCTAAAGCGCAAGCGTTAGACCTAAACGGCCGACCCCCCTCCCCCGTGAAGTACTGGAATTAATCAACTCTTGGCTGTTATGAAAATAGGACAATTGATTTTGTTATAGTTCATTAATTACCCCATAATCCGCCTTCATTAGCCCGGATAGAGCAGAATAGTGGAACGTTAAACCCCATTTCATTTCATTACTCCAAAACGATACCAATAACGATATTATCAAAATGGCTGATCCGTTATACGATAACACTTTGTCCATGAAAAGGTTTACTGAAATGTACATTACAGCACATAAAATATAAATCATCCAATTCCATTTGGTTTTGCGATAGACAAAACAATCGATTTGAGCTAAAACTTGTTTTGTATTAAAAAAAAACGTAATCCACCTAATGCTCAAATAGAATTATTAAAGTTGAAAAAAAAAACCTTCCTGTTTTATTGTCTCCTTGTACGGGAAGTAATAGAAGTTATAGACAATTATGATTTTACGTTCACTCGACACAAAGTAGGTCACTTCAGAACTAACATAATGGAACACTTTAATTTAAACAATTCGCTTGCGCGCGGGGATCTTTGGCATTCGGAGGAAACCCAGTAGACTCTTTTAGCTCCAATATTTCGCGCTAAACTGCGTAAGACGGAAGACATCAGTAGTGGAACCATTTCTACTTTAAGACTAGCTCAAAACACACACGGATCGTAGGGTTTGGTAGCTCTCAAATTAGCTGCAAGAAACACGGTGAAAATGTTATATGTGCAGGACCAAAAGTCTCTACGGCCAGTCTGTGATCTTCTACGGTACCGAACATACGCAAGTGACGCGTACGACTCGCGCACGGGTTTACTAAAAAAATCCCTCCCGTAGACTGTCCGTAGTAGCACGTTGTGAGCTAGGCTTTAGATTAATTATAGCTTGTTGAAATATGTATACCCGATTTAACTACTGCCTTTAAAATCATACAGGCTATTAAACATACATTATGCAAATCTGACTATTGCAGGTCTTTTTTTAGGCCTGATATGTTATCTAAATTATTAACAAGACATTAATTAACATATCCAGACCATAATCAACTCTCAATGGCATCGCTAGCCTGCAATATTTACTGGATTAGGATCCGATTTGCTGCTCACCTTTCATTCATGAGTAAATCATGAAATGGATAATTGAGACTATGTTTTTTATCGTACCGACTTTAGTAATCACGATTGATTTTCAGCAAATTCCCATTACATTATCTAGTTTTTAACTATTATAGTGAGAACTCCCAGCTCTTTATCTAATCTCCCCTAAAACAAATCGTATATATTTTGAAAAAAGCTTACCCCCCATCAAAACCCCCATACCTACCTACACTTCCCAGATGAAATGCCTTGGTATTGTATTGGATAAGTTTCAAATTTGAGTTAAGGTTTCATGATTAAATGTAGGGTTAACGTGTGATCGGAGACTATACACAGACACAATTATCTTGAAAGACTATAGAAGCCATGTTACAACGTTGTTTAGTACTAAACAGTCATTGTATTCCATAGAATCGTGTCCTGTGTATTTACAGTTTAAATAATCAATGCCATTGAAACAACAGAACTTGGTGGGTTTGAAGGGATATTTCTCATAGATTGAAAGCTATTAAATCCAGGATGTCTGGAGTATGAACAACTTTCTATAGGATGTAAGTAATTTTTGTCTGGTCGTTAGGATTGTAAGAGTTTATATCATAAGGCCTGTCATGGCCTAGTGGTCTAGAGTGTCGCGGTTCGAGCTCTAGCTGGAAATGAAATGAAATGAAATGGGGTTTAACGTCCCACTGTTCTGCTCCTATACTGGGCTAATGAAGACGGGCATACGCCATATAGTGTGCTATGAGGGAAATTTCTGTTCTGCTCTGAACTGGGCTAATGAAGACGGGCATACGCCATACAGTGTGCTATGAGGGAAATTTTGTCCGGACAGCGGCGCTACGGCCTATTCTTATATCGAATTCCAACTGCCAAGGGATCTTTTACGTGCCAATGTGTACACGGGACCTCGGTTTCTCGTCCCATCCGAACGACTAGACAGGGGAAACCACGCCGGAAAGCTCTAGCTGGCCTGTCATCCCTGGCTTCAGGTCGTGAGTTTGTTCCCCGGTGTGAGGGTATGTGACTTGGAGATAGGGGCGCCTTCTCAACCTCGTGGGTTTACTCCAGGTACTCCGATTTCCTATTACAGGAAAGACCCCTGCACGGTGCGCTAAGATAATAAATATGAAAATAAGACGCCTCTGCGATATCACTCTCGATGGAAGCGGACGTTAATACAAAGAACAACAACAATAGAGTAACATCTTTCCACTAACTATGAAAGAGACAGTGAATAAATAAAAAATCAGATTACATCAGTGATATGTTAAAAAGATAGATATACATAATGTTATATATGTTAATAAAACAAGTGGAGAACCTTGATTAATACTATAAAATAAAAACTAGGGGCCTTATTCAAGAAAGCTTAAACTAAAATATCAGAAAGATGCAGCCTTTCCATTGGTTGAAAATGAAATGAAATGGGGTAAAACATCCTACTGTTCTGCCCCGACTACCAAGGGTTCTTTTACGTACATGCCAATGTGTACACGGAACCTCGCTTTATCGTGCCATCCTAATGACTAGACAGCTTACCTTGCCAGGCCCTCCGTCCTGCACCACTGACAAGGGGAAACCACGTCGGAAAGGATTTCATGTGGTGTAACAGGATGCCTAGTCATGAATCGCACCCACGACTCCGGGCATAGATTCCATACACCTCTACTAAGTGAGCTTATAGGAATTCCCCACGACTAAGTCAGTAGGAAGTGTACACAGAACCTCGGTTTAGCGTCCCATTCGAATGGCTAGACAGCTGTCCATTTGATTTAAATCAATCAAGTTAAACAAATTGTTTATATTATCATAAAAGTTTCAGTTGTTGAAACTTGGGGGGCATTATTGCACACAAATTATGTGTTACATACAGATAATAGTAAATAAAAATATGTACAGTTTCCTTTCTCCTGTGTACTTAATATAAAACAATAATACAACACGTATAAATACACCACAAAAACTATTACACTTATATATATATATTCAAAATATGAAATAGGATGGACAAAACCAAATTTAATACGTTTCTGCCAAATTCCTTTCTTTGGTGACAACAAAATAACCCGGAGCCGGAGAAAAGAGTACTTGCGGCCAAATACCTTTTTTTGTTGACAACAAAATAAGGTGAACACTGGGTGCAAAAACATTTCCAGGAGGTGATCGTCGTCAAATCTGTGCTCTAGCTCTAAAATTCTACGGAATACAATTACTTAGCGTCTAGTGTTTATCAAGCAGTAATTGTGTCCTCAGTATTTCCAGTTCTATTACTAATGTTATTGGAACATGAGTTCCATGTCGGCTGTATATGCCGGTGAAGATCGAGGGCTATGGAAATTGACTGAAACTAGATCTGACCCATCGGTCATTTTTCACGCCGAAAAAAGAAAAAAGAGAATATTTTTTCAAAACCCAACTGACACAACCTTAAGATCACTTATATTTTTCCACACTCAGTGCTAATTGTTGGTGTTACGGTCTTTTGTTTTTGTTTTTTGTTAGTTCTTCTATGAAAAGGGTGTGCCAGAAACCTTAAATTCAATTCTATTCCTTATTATTTCACAGCTTTGAAGCACATTAAGTGTTTATAATAGTTGCATTTTATAAAAATATCAAGCTTTACCAACATCGATAAATTAGAGAAGATCAAATTTTTAAGTCACAACTAAAAACTATATTTGTTTAAACTCTATTATCCAGATTCGAAAGAGACAGTTTTATGTGTGCTTTAACTGACGAGAGACTCCTTAAATGCAGCACTTTGAGCATGCGTAAATGGATGGATTATTAAGTGCATTATAAATATACATTATTAATATAATAAATGCACCATCAGAAATATTACATTAAATATTGATTTTTATACACATAAAAACATTAATTATAAACAAGCCATCAAGGGTTAAAAGGACAGAAGTACTTCAAACGATCAATGCGATCAACGTGGTAGAAAATATCCCTAAATTGACCTGGTATAGAACTACCTACATAGAGAATAGATCTCTGCACTGAATGTCCACCATGTTAAAAAAAATTGTATACTATTTGTGGTGTTCTAATCCATTTTACATCTTTCATACACACAAAGATTAAATAAACGTCTTCAATTCATTAAATCGAAGGGGGGTAAATACCTCTCAATATTCTCAAAGTACACTTAGTGGTTTCAATAAAATTCTCAATGCAGGAATTAAAATGTCAATATGGAGTCTAAGCATACAAAGACTAATCAGCATATCAATCTAAATCTAAATCGACAAATAAGCAATCTAAATCTAAAGCTACAAATAAGCATCAAAATCTAAAGCTACAATAAAGAATAGCAATCTAAATCTAAAGCTACAAATAAGCATTGCAATCTAAAGCTACAATAAAGAATAGCAATCTAAATCTAAAGCTACAATAAAGAATAGCAATCTAAATCTAAAGCTACAAATAAGCATTGCAATCTAAAGCTACAAATAAGCAATCTAAATCTAAAGCTACAAATCTAAAGTTACAAATAAGCATTGCAATCTAAATCTAAAGCTACAAAATAGCATAGCAATCTAAATCTAAAAATAAGCATAGCAATCTAAATCATAGATTTACACTTCACACAAAATATTACACTCTACAGTGCTACAGAAACTGATCAGCATTTAGAAATATTTATTGTAGAGCTACCAATCATACAAATATTTGAATGTAGAGCCGATGTGGAGACAAGCCCTACATAATTTAATCAGCATATTGCAGAGCTATAAATCAATCTTAAATCAAATAAATACATGAGATAAATGAATATCAATACAAATTTACAAATTTCGACAAGACATAGTAAAAAAAAACTTTTATTAAAACAATCTTATAAATCAAATACATTGACGAATACGAGATATAGATGACTATCAATACAGTACAAATTTAGACAGGATATATATATATATAAAAAAACCTAATTTAAAAAATGCATAAAAAGTGGATGTTACGTTTTTTGAGAAGCAATATAATCTTGAAAACATAAATAAGTGGCCTTCTCTAAATCTTTGAAACGTGGATCATCATTGAGGAAATAAAATGAAGGATAATTTGTTACATAAGATAGACCAAACTGATTGGTCATATCAGCAAAAGTCACTTGCCCACCATAACCCGTATGTCCATAAACAGTGTCACCCTGGAAGAAAAATTTAATAAATTATTCATAATAGAAACAGTACAATCAGTTCTCTGAAACAAAATGTTATAGAGGAAAGAAAATAGGCTTTTGTTTGACAATCTACATTTCAGCACTATCTAGCCAGAGATCTTCCTAAGCGTGCAGTGAAATTTTGAACGGCACACTAAGAAAATGCAAAAAACCATGTGATCCCAATTGATTAGCCTACTGACTAATTGAGAGAGAGAAATGGGGTTTAACGTCCACTCGACACAAACTAGGCCATTTTGGAACAAACATATGGTTTTAATTTTATTTCAATAATTCGCTTGCGCATAGGGGTCTTTAGCAGTGGGAGGAAACCGGAGGACCCGGAGAAATCCCACGAGGTCGGACAGATGACCCTACTCCTTGTCACGTACAACCGGGGATTCGAAACCACGCCAGTTGACTCAATGACAGGCCTTATGATACAGCACACACGTACTAACCATTCAACCATCCGACTCATCAGATAACATATATACACAAACATTATAGTTATATACAAACAATATCAAACGTGCACGCATTAACCATTCGGCCAACCAACCACGCCAGCCCGACAGGGTACCAAGAAATAATTTTATTTTGAATTCAACTGTCAATTAAAAGCTAGCTGACCATTCTTGCTATAATAGTTTAATAGTTCAGTTAAAGTACTTTAGACTTAGTGAATTTATGAGTGTTTGAAGTTTTGACAAGAAATAGCCTAAACAAGCATTGTGACTCTGTCGAATTTAATTAAAGCATATGGGGTTTAACGTCCTACTGTTCTGCTCCGATTGGGCTAATGAAGACGGGCATACGGCATATAGTGTGCTATGAGGGAAATTTTGCCCGGGCAGCAGCACTATGGAGTACTCTTATATCAAATTCCAACTGCCAAGGGATTTTTTACGTGCACACCAATCTATACACAAGTCCTCGGTTTTTCGTCCCATTCGACAAGGGGAAACCACGTAAGAAAGTCCTGATGAACTTTCTCAGCCAATGCAGGGATTGAACATCCATATACTACTGTAGTGGATTGAACATCCATATACTACTGTAGTGGATTTTTTTGGATAAAATTATATTATACATACCTACCTGTGAGATTCAACTTCTTCAACTTTCAATGAAATGAAATGAAATGGGGTTTAACGTCCTACTGTTTTGCGCCGAACTGGGCTAATGAAGACGGGTACAACATTCAAATTGAGTACATTTTAATAAGATGGATTAGAAAAACCTACCTGTGAGTTTTTAAGACGCATGAAACCTCGTCCATACGACATGTTTACTAATAAAGTATTATCTAAACCCTCTACCATGTTAGTGTTTAATTTTTCTATTGAAGCTTTCGATAAGAGTTGCTTCCCTTGATAAGTTCCCCCACTTGCCAAAATGCCGAGCATTTTCGCTAAAGCTTTTGCTGAGGAAAAACCATTGAAACTTGAAAATGGTACAGCTCTGATTACTGGATTATTCTGTCTGCCACGCTGAAAAAGAACATGTAAAAGTTCAACTGGATGCAGAAACTATCCCAATGTCTATACTATTCTAATGTCTATACTATTCTAATGTCTATACTATTCTAATGTCTACACTATTCCAATGTCTATACTATTCCAATGTCTATACTATTCTAATGTCTATACTATTCCAATATCTATACTATTCTAATGTCAATACTCATCTAATATTTACACTATCCCAACGGCTACACTATTCTAATGTCTACTGTCTACACTATCCTAATGTCTATGCCATCCCAATGTCTATACTATTCTAATGTTTATGCTATCCTAATGTCTACACTATCCCAATGTCTACTCTATTCTGATGTCTACTATATTCTAATGTCTACACTATCCTGATGTCTACACTATTCTGAGGTCTACACTATTCTAATGTCTACACTATCCCAATGTCTATTCTAATGTCTACACTATTCTAATGTCTACACTATCCTAATGTCTATACTATTCCTATGTCTATACTATTCTAATGTCTATACTATCCTAATGTCTATACTATTCCAATGTCTATACTATTCTGATACATGTATCTTATGTCTAGATAAAAATGAAATGAAATGGGGTTTAATATCTTATTTTTTTGCACCAACTGACTAATGAAGATACATGCACTGACAGCAGCACTACAGCCTACACGTGTTTTATTTTCTAACCATCAAGGATTCTTTAACATGCTACAGAACATTGGTTTTTCATTCCATACAAACATTGGTTTTTCATTCCATACAAACAATAAGACACATATCCTTCCCAGAACCTCAGTCTTGCAACACTGACAAAGGGGAAATTAGTAAGCCAGTACCATTCTGACCAAGCCATGCTGGCTCCCATATTCCGATAAACAAATCATACAACCTAATCATCAAAGTCATCAAATTCGTCCAAAGCGATCAATAAGCACTGACACCAACATTTTCCTCAATGGATACCGCAGTTAAATGAAGGATCAAGTTGAGCACTCAAATTAGAGCACATAATATTTTAGTTTTTAGCCAATGAAAAGGCTACATTCTTACAATATTTTTGTTCTCTAGAATATGAAATGAAATGATGTTTACATCCTAATGTTCCACTCCGACTGGCTTGATGAAGACAGGCATACACCATACAGTGTGATGTTAGGGAAATTTTGCCCGGACAGAGGTGCTAAGGCCTACTGTTATACTGAATTCCTACTGCCAAGGGCTCTTTTATGTGCACGCAAATGTGAACACGGGACCTCGATTTACTGTCCCATCTGAATGACTATATGTTGTCCCTTGTTGTCCTGCACCAATGACAAGGGGATACCATGCCGGAATCCCTGGTTGTATGTGCCAAGGAGTAGGGTCGCCTGTCCAACCTCGTGGGTTTTCTCCAGGTCATCCGGTTTCCTCCCACTGCTAAAGACCCCTACGCGCTAGCGAATTATGTAAATAAAATTAAACCATATGTTAGTCCCGAAATGACCTAGTTTGTGCCGAGTGGCCGTTAAACCCTATTTCTCTCTCTCACCATTCCGGAAAATCCCGATGAACTTTCTCGTCCAGCACCAGGATTAAACACAGTACGTCTAGGTTAGCGAGCCAACATCTTACTCACTGAGCCACTATAGTTCTCTACTGGAATAAACCTGGCCCCGATGTTCACAAAGCGAGAGAGAGAGAGAGAGAGAAAAATGGGGTTTAACGTCCACTCGACACAAACTAGGTCATTTCGGGACTAACACATTGTTCAATAATTCGCTTGCGCGTAGGGGTTTAGCACGTACAACCGGAGAATTGAAACCCCGCCAGTTGACTCAATGACAGACTGTATGATACAGCGCGCGCGTGCTAACCATTCGGCCATCCACCCCCCCCCCCCAGTTCACAAAGCATTCTCAGACTTAAGTCAAGAATTTACTCAACTTTCAATCACTGTTTATGAGAAATATCTTTGATCCAGAAACCCAAAACCTTGCACATAGTTTCTCAGGTTTTATAAAGGGCTATATTTTAGTTAAAATAAGATGAACAATTTTGAGTAAATTCTGAACTTCAGTTTGAGAATGTTTGAACTTGGGACCTGAGGAATCCTTTAAACTTAAAGATACATTATGTAAGACGTAGATAAAGAACTAGCCATTCTTGCTATACTAGTTCGAAAGTAGATGATGTAAAATGAATAATTTGAAAATTTCATTCAAATTACTCTATTGCAAGCGAAGATATTAGCCTTTGAAGGTTTGACAGACGTGTGCAATAATTTCAACCACCGTACTGGTTGATCGAAGCTAAGTCTCTGTCCTCCATATTTGATTAAATCAAAGTATCGCTAAACCATTCTAATCTATTTAATATCGGAGAAATCTGATGCCATCGAGAGGTGAGTAAGGCCTTGATCAGTTAATTAATGTCTAATTAATAATTTAGATAGCATTTCAGGCCTAAAGAAAGACCTGCAATTGGCAGATTTAGCTCTTGCATAATGTATTTTTAAGAATTACTGCACTGTTTACTTACCTCAGAGACGTCTTTCGGTGCTTTAAAAGCCGTGGCAGTATGTGATGTAGGATAGAATATGGTATTGATATAAATGTTGATATAATTGATATCGAAAGACAATAAAACAGACAACAACATTTGTGGTGCCGTTATTAACATAGACTTTGCCACTCGATAATTCTCTGCATACGGCAAACCAATGAACGAATCTATTCCTGAAAAGAAAATACCATTTTAATGGAGAAATTCTAAAAAGATAATTTTCTGTGGATAAAAAAAAATACAGGTCAATTTCATTTGGAATCCTTTATCCTAGCAACAAGCAACTATCAAAATGTCTGCGATGGGTTTTTAATAAAGTTGTGACAATAATGCACTTTTTCGTATGCCACTGTTCTGCAGGGGTGTTTCTTAGGCCAGATTGACAGAAAAACACAAAAGTTGAAGAATTTTTGGTGTCCGCCCATTTTTTCGGTCGAAATGGTGCACATTTTCAAAATGGCCACCAAAATGGGTCCAAAATATGCAAAAATCGTATTTTTAAACTATTACTTCTAATTACTGCGATTTATTTTCTTGAGTATATAATGGGATTTTCAACAATTTTAATCTCATAAGAAGCACACAAGGCATTTCTCTAGCAAGTGCTAATTTTAACAAGGTTTCGATGCCACAGACTTGCTTATATTCTGGATGAACAACAGATTTTATGGAGTTTCTGCAGATTTTTGGGGGATATTGTCCCAACCCTATTTTCAAAGAATAGTTTAACGTCTGCTCAAAAAACCATAGGTAATTTGGATTCTGAAATATGGCATAGATCTTGATTTGCATAATTCAAGGACCCAGATGGAGAAGACTTACAAGATTATACTAACGATCCTACTTCGATCCATAAACAAGTCTGGGCTCGAGAGTTCGAAACCACAATAGACCTTTAGGATTTAAAGGAGTGGTTTTCAGAAATTTCCGGCCTATGAAATAAAATGAGGTTGGATTTAAAGGAGTGGTTTTCAGAAATTTCCGGCCTATGAAATCAAATGAGGTTTAACATCACACTTTTCTGCACCAACTGGGCTAATGAAGGCATGCAGCATTCTATAGGGACATTTTGCCAGGAGAGTGACGCTACGTCCTACTCTTATATGGAATTCAACCTGTCAAGGGTTCTTATACAAGCACAATGTGTACACAGGACCTCAGGTTTTTTGTCCCATACTGCAACATTGACAGGAGGAAACTCACTTACAAAGAACATGGAAATATTGCTCTCTCAAAATTCCAAGTTATTTTTCTGGTATTATTGTTTATTGCTCGTTTCATTTTATAATATTGCATTTAAAGATAGTAACACACACACAGCAGCTATGTCTCAGTCTTGAACATCATTATCTTAAGGTTTTAAAAAAGATTTGTCAAAAATTGTGGCCTCTAGATAGCGAACAAGCAAAATTATGCTAATCAAAGGGACATAACTCCAGAATAAAAAAAAAACGATTGTTTTCAAATTCTTTCCCAATGGTCGTTTACCCCTAAGAACCATTTTCCTAAGGTTCGAAAAAGATTGTCAAAATTGGTGGCTTCTAGAAAGAGTGGACAAGCTAGTGTGGACTGCATTATATGTGGGCGTGTATAAAAACAATTTAAAGTCTGTCATATTTACCATATTCATCTGCTATTTCTTCTTTAAATATCTGACCTATATTACGATGTTTTATATCAGCTTTTTGAAGAAGTGTATCTACCAATAAGGCGAAGGACAGCATATGATAGCCATGTTGTGTTCCTATAAATATAATATTACAATTTAATCTATTGTCAGTATTATAAGGCGAAGGACAGCATATGATAGCCATGTTGTGTTCCTATAAATATACTATTACAATTTAATCAATTATCAGTATTAAATCAATCTGATTAAAACACAGATCCTATTTCCTTTCGTTTTTTTATAGTTCAAAATTTCGCTTTACTTGGATATCTCTACTTTCCATATATAGGTAGAGTGGTTCAATGGTCAATTATTTGTCCTTATATAAACATGCACAGTTATCTGCCTGACTGCACCGTCCGTGAAGTGAAGTGATCAAAATGTAGTCTCGTGCACGTGAATTTCGATGCCGCAGCTAATATACGTCATAAATAGCATTCCACGTGGTATTATACAAACATGTATTGGTATATAAAGCCAAGTAAAAATACACTCATTACGCGCTTACCAAAATTGCCATACTTTTATTGGAAAATACTGAATTCACAATCATTAATTATGGATAAATTCCTAACTCAATTTGATAATACAGTCTCACCTGCAGGCCACGCAGGAGTTGCCTGGGCAACCTCTTTCTGCAATTCTTCCTTATTCAACAAAATGTCTTGGAAAGAGTTAAAATTTTGAGTTGGATGCAACAATCCTGCCTGTAAAAAGATTCCATTCATCAAGAGACTGATAAGCTGGGTTCAATGTCCACTCAACACAAGTTAATTAGGTTTTTTTGTGTTTTAGAAGTGAGAGAAAACCAGAGGAAGGTACATGATTAGGTTAGTGAATGGTGACCCCATGTTACATACATGTGCAAGCATGGGGTCAAACCCCTGACTTGCATCGATAACAAGACTTAATATCTACATTTATAGCCACCCAATCCATGTACAGCTTGGCGTGAACTAAAAGAAACCTTGACAGATACAGATGGAAACTAAAACAAAAGTGGGTTGGTGTCCGAGCAAAATGTTCCTCATAGCATACTGCATGACAAACATGTATGCTCATCTTATGGTTTCGAGCCTGGATTTGTTCATGACACGAAGTAGGGTCTTGTGAGTCTTCTCTGGGTCCTTGAAAAGTAGGACGTTAAACCACATTTTATTTCTATAAAGGACTACAATACCTGATGACTTAATAACATCTCTACTGTAATATTATCTTTATTGTTGACTTTAAACTCTGGCCAGTAAGCTGAAACAGGTTTACTATAGTCTAACCATCCCCTTAAAATACAAATAGTTCAATTTTAATTAATTCATAAAGATAGTTAACTGCTAAATAAACATAATGTTTCAGAGGCATTTAGTAACTGGATAGAGCAGTAAAAAATAACACATACTTATGGAAAACATTGTTCGGATGGGACGAAAAACCAAGGTCCTGTGTACACATTGGCGTACACGTGAAAGATCCCTTGGCAGTTGGAATTCGATATAAGAGTAGGCCATAGCACCGCTGCCCGGGCAAAATTTCCTTCATAGCACACTGTATGGCGTCCCCTTAAAATAGAAACAGTTCAATTTTAAATAATTCCTAAAGAATAGTTAACAATAAACATTTTCTTTTACGGTGTGAATGAAAATCTTCATTTCCTCTTGACTTCTCTGAACATATGGAAGTCAATTCAAAAAATTATTAAAAATTGATTAACAATTTGGTGCATAAACAGCCAGGTTCAGGATTTTATATAAATGAAACGATATGGGATTTAACATCCTACTGTTGTGCTCTGACTAGGCTAATGAAGATGGTCATACCCAATATAGTATGCTATGAGGGAAATTTTGGCCAGGCCTACTCTTATACGTGCATGCCAATGTATACACGGGACCTCGGTTTTCCATCCTATCCAAACAACTAGACAGCTTTCCTTGCCCCTCCGTACTGCACCACTGACAAGGGGATGCATCAGTCAGGAATCGAACCCAGGACCCCGGGCATGGAATCCATACACCTCTCTTAGTGAGCTTATAGGAATTCTCCCTGACTAAGTCAGTTACTTAAAACTCGAGGCACCACAGGACAGAATAATCTAGGTGTCCATCTTTGGCCTAGATCAGTGCTTCTAACCACAGGTCCATATGGACCACCAGGAAGGAATTGTAAAGTCTTACGGAGGAATTTAGAGGCAAGAGGGAATTGGGGAGGAATGGCTTAAGAAGCGGGGTATCTGCTCTTTGGGGGGTGGGGGTATTTTCGTATGGTCTGTAGTCCTGCTATCTTATGTAAAATGTCATTTTCTATGTGAATGATCTTTGAGTATTGAGAGTTTGTCTTCTAGTCTTGATCATTAATGCCTTGGAAAGTGGAATTTTTCATTCCCCAAATATCCGGGTTATCCGTGGATGAAATTCAAATTTATCAGGAAAATATCTACGGTGTAGTCCCATGTGAGGAAATTTCCTCATTTTGAGCAAATTTATGTCTGCCGGAAACACAATGAGGAGATGGAAATGCACTATTTGATTTAAAATAGAGAGAGAGAGAAATGGGGTTTAACGTCCACTCGCTTGCGCGTAGGTGTCTTTAGTAGTGAGAGGAAACCGGAGGACCCAAAGAAAACTCACACAGTTGGATAGGTGACCCTACTCATTGTACTTGACTCAATGACAGACCTTATGATACAGCGCACACACACTAACCATTCGGTCATCCAACCCCCACCATAATATTCAAGAAAAAAAAAAGAATATTTATTTAACTGTAGAAACCTTTTCCAAGGGCAGTAATCATTTCTCTTGGTCTTATATTTATAAATACTGAAACCATACTCACTTTTCCACCATTTTTGCAGCTGTAATGGCTGCCATGGTTTTAGTAAGAGAATACACCAATGTGAGAGTATTATTATCCCATGGTTGAGCCGAATCTTCATCAGCATATCCTCCCCATAAATCGATCAATAATTCTCCTTTATAATACAAGGCAAACGCTGCACCTCCCTCTTTACCATTTTCTATTTTATTTCTACAATAAGATAAATAATACAGCTAGGTATTAATTATTCTGAATTTGAGACAAGTGTCCACATAACAATTTTGCTTTTGCCTTTAATAATTTTTGCTTGTACCTATCATCATATAAACACAATATTATTAGGACCACAAAGCTGTGTTAGTGTGTCCCACTATACCCTAAAACAGAAGGCCTAGTGTCCCACCATACCCTATAGTATGACTATTGTTAGTTCAGCCACAGGACGTCACACAAAATCAATCTGCAGTGACTAGACCATTGACACAAGTGCCAAAGATAATTTTAGTTTTTCTCTCCCTTTCCATTTTCCCCCTTTTTGCATGGCGATTTTTGTTGACTTTTGGGTGTAGAATCGAAGAAGAGGGTTTGCCTATACATTTTCTGCCAGGTTTTGGTGAATATTCATCATTTTGAGGCGGAAGTATACAAGACTTCTAGAGGTTGGTTAGGTTTTTGTGTGACGTCAGCGCATTGCATTCCTGTTCTTTTATATTATATATTGTCTGGTTGAACATGGTGTATGCATTATATATACGGATAGAAGGTCAGACTCCTGTGGTTCAGCTCTGAACGTACTTCTCATTACACTTGCCATGCACGTTCAGGAACAGTCCTATTGAATCCTTCATCCTTGTTGATAAAATTTCACTTCCAAGTAAATTTTACTGGGCAACTTTTTACAGCTAATAAACGGTCGCCTGTCACTCCCTGTGAACTCCTGAACAATGTAAATGAACATCTTAGATCCCAAATATCAGCGACTTAGCTCCTTTAACTCGACAATTTCGTCTATGTCGGGCACACGGTCAGTCTTATTCTTAATTGCATACCGATGACTATTTTTGCAGCATTTTTTTAGGAATCGGTCCTACCTAAATATTTCAGCTACTCTTCTAAATTTTGGATGAAAATGTCCCTCTACAATTGGTGGAAGTTTCGGTTTAAACATCAGTGACAAAATATTCCATGATAATGCTGCACAAACCATTAAAATTGATCCTCGAATTAAACTCATATTGTAAATTTCATTTGTTTACGTTTTACTCCGCCATTGATGTAAGGGATATAACTTCAACTCTATAATGTATAGTTATCCAGACTCAAAAAATAGTTTCTTGTGCTTTTGTTATCCAGACACATCATATAAGCGGTGTGACACCAACGATGACATTGATAATCCATTTAGTTCTAAAACCGTTCTTTAAATGAAATGAAATGGGGTTTAACGTCCTACTGTTCTGCACCGGCTGGGTTAATGAAGACAGGCATGCGCCATGCAGTGTATGACTAGGAATGATATTTTTTTTCCTGATCAACTTTCAAGGGTTTACATGTATGTGGTAAACGTAAAGCAAGATTTTCAAAATATCCTTACAACTACATGTACATACCGCAGTTATTAACCGATTTCAATGAAACTTCTTTTGGATTGATAGCACTGATAATATCTCAGAGTAGCTAAACTTTCGACCATGCACTTCCGGTACGCGGTTTCCGAGATATGGGGTTACCAGTACACATTTCATGTGGCACAGCAATCAGTCCGCAATAATCAATCGATTTCAGTGAAACATCAATAATATCTCAGAGCTAGCCAAAATCGCAAATACTTCCGGTCAGGGGTTTCGGAAAAATCAGGTTACCGCACATTTCAAGGGGCACGGCTGCAGACCGCAAAAATCGACCAATTTCAATTAAACTTACCGATTATTATAGCAATAATAATCTCTCATGTCGAGTAGACAAAATTTCAACCACTAGCTGCCATTTAGCGGTTTCCGAAATATTAGGTTACCACACGTTTCATCCTAAATTTTGTGATACTTTTTGAAAGAAATAAAAACTCTAGACCCCATGGATGTGGGGTTGGTCATAAATTCCCAAATTACATGGAGTTTAATGATGTGCATTAGCAGCATTACACCTTTGGCAGTGTCGTGTTTACAGATCCAAGGCAAGGGGGGTAATGGTTCAATTTTATTTCAACATTTCGCTGACGCGTAGGTATCTTTGGCAGAGGGAAGTAGCCGGAGGACCCGGAGAAAACCCACAAGGTTGGAATTTTCAAATTTGGTGTGAAGCATCGTAGCAGAGTTATGCCCCCTTTTCCGAAAATCCTTGACTATATTTTTTTTAACAGATTGCTTTCAAATCTGGTGATGAGTATTGGAGTCATGAGAGGATGAACCCTATTGATATTCAACTTTCTGCGACTTTCTGTTCTGGAGTTATCCCATCTTTGCCAAAAACCTTGTGAACTCGATAGTGGCTATAGATTTTAACAGTTTTCTTTTTAATTTGGCGTCTGTGTCATGAGAGGATGAATCTCATCGTTCCGCGACTTTCACGCCCTTTGCCGAAAACCTTGTGAAAGGCTACAGTTTGTATCTGATTTTTTTAACAGAATTCCTGTTCCCTAGATGTATCATAGTGACGCAGACCTTGGGTTTTTGACGGATTCTTTTCAAATGTGATATCAATCATCGTAGCAAAAGTTATGCCCCCTTTTCCAAAAATCCTATCAACGCGATAGAGGATATAGTTTTTTAACAGACTGCTTTCAAATCTGGTAGATATTCAACTTTCTGCGACTTTCTGTTCTGGAGTTATCCCATCTTTGCCAAAAAACCTTTCAAATCTGAGATTAGATTTCTTCAAGAATCATCCTTATCAAATTTGCTAAAAATCCAAATTTTCCTGTCGGATCGATGAATCATTTTGAGATTCAAGCTATTCTGAGATGCTCAGGTTATAAAGCAATATACCCAGTGATTTGATCGTGTTCAATAACTCGATGAACAGTTGAATCTCGTTTAAATTCGCACTTATCGGCATGTAAAATAGGTACTATATCTTGACTAAGCCAGACATAAGCCTAGCGCAGTACACCAGTTTTGGGTGTAAAATCTAAATTTCGGTGTTTTGGCAGCGTGATCTCATTAACATTGACTATGTCCAATTCTCCCATCCCGGGGGAGCGCCGCCCATCTCCCCCTACCCGGACGATGAGTAGGCAGTGGCAAAAGGAAACGACCGATCTAGAATCCCCGCAGAATCCTTGCCTCCAACCCACCAGATCTTTAACCCGCCCCAGAACATCCTCAGGGAGAAAACCAGAGGACCTGGAGAAATCCCACGAAGTTAGGCAGGCGACCGCACTCCTTGTCACATACACGCGGGGAATCGAAACCACGCCACCAGGCTCAATGGCCAACCTTATAACCCAATCGGCCACCCAACAGTGGACAATACTAGACTGCATTAAAGACTGTTTTGACCATCAAACCTTATAAATATATTAACAACTTTCGGCAAGGGAGCCGCGGTGGCTCAGTGAGTAAGACCTTGGCTGGCTAACCTGGGCGTGTCGTGTTCGATCCCGGATTTTCAGGCGTGTTTCCACCCTTGCCAGTGGGGCCTGGCAAGGGACAACGTATTGTCGTTCGAGTGGGACGAAAAACCGGGGCCCCGTTTACGCAGTGGCGTGAACTTTATAGAACCCTTGACAGTTGGAATTCGAAATAACAGTAGGCCGTACTGGCGAACAAAATTTCCCTCATAGCACACTATATGGAGTATGCCCGCCTGTATTAGCCCAGTCGGAACAGAACAGTAGGACGTTAAACCCCATTTCATTTCATTTTACAACCTTTGTATTGCAAAGTACGACATTGGGTCAGAGGCAACACACCGATTCCATTATGGTTCCATGCAAGCCTTGAAATAGGGCAACTGTCACAGACAATCTCAGGCACAAATTCTGGCTTTGTCAGACACAGTTCCCCCGGTGCCCACCATTCTGGTCATAATTTATGTTTTTATCAATATTTTTAGTACATTAATTTATATTTGTCAGGTACAACTTCAATAGTGCCTGACATTTTGTCTGTGGAACTGTTATGACCGAAAATGTGGTCATGGCCAATTGGGGCACTGAACAAATGCTTCTCACTGCGGCTCTCTTCATGGGAGAGAGAGGGAGAGAGAGAGAGAGAGAGAGAGAGAGAGAGATGAGGTTTAACGTCCACTCGATACATACTAAGTCATTTCGGGACTAACATATGGTTCAGTATTTAGCAGTGGGAGGAAACCGCAGGACCCGGAGAAAACCCACGAGATTTGACAGGCGACCCTACTCCTTGACAAACCTTATGATACAGTGCGCACGTGCTAACTATTCGGCCACCCCCACCCCGCTCTTCATGGGAAATCGTCGACTTGTCCAAAATAGAGTCAATTTAATCAATAAGTCCATGTAGCACGATTGACATACATATGGGCGTATAAGTAACACTAAAAATGAAATTAATTTTCCTAACATCAGCTGTTGATTACGGTAAACAGGCCTAAATATATATTTTTTTTTTTGTTTCTGGATGATTGAAAATTGATTGTATCGATAAATCGCCAGAGGCTATACACAAGATAACACTGTCAACCGACAAAACCGATGTCATTTCACCACAAAAACTTGACACCAGTGGATTACTGCAGGGTTTTTTTGCGCCTCTAAGGCGACGCCACATTTTGCCTCCCTTCCCGAATATCATCACTTCAGACAATGTCTACATGAAAACTATTGTCAAGTAAACATATCTCATTTTATCCAACACACCGCTTCTGTTGTAGGCCCCAGGTCACCATTCAGCCCTTCTATTTCCAGGGATGTACCGCCGTGGAATCCTGTAACATTTTAATCAGAAACCTAACACCGAGCCCCACCCAGTCTAATGAATTTGTTGTCACATCCATAGGCACATTACATTTGCTGCCAGGAAGATTTAGAATTTTATAATTAATCGACACCTTTTGTTCTATATAAGGTTCGATATCTTCCCTATCTAATACATCACTACGGTGGAAGCAGGCGTTAAACCAACAGTTACTACTACCTGTCTCCTGAATATCTTACAAAACAGAATTACCAGTAGATTCCAGTAGACCTGTATCAAGGTAAGATCTTTGACTAATAGCCCAGTAAGTCATTATTTGGACTTGGGATTAATTTTCTAAAAGCTGGAATCAACTGTTTTTGTATCTAGAGTAATTGCTTATCAACATACCAAAAGTCTTCTCGGGTGAATGAAAATATTTGACACACTTTCTTGGCAGCTTTTATATGGAAAGTAACTGTGAGAAGAAAGGGTTGATTTATTTGGGAAAGTTAATTGATGAACTGTTCAGTTCAGATCATCATACGATGTCTTGCAGATAACTCAGTGTGTGGGGGTGGGGGGGTTAATGAACTAACACGTGCGCTTTAGAACAAGATACATGTACGTCATTTAGTTTAGTGTCCTGCTTTTCCACACCGATTGGACTAATGAAGACGGCCATGCGCCATATTGTGTGCGTTGAGGTAATTCTGTTCGGATAGCAGCAATACAGCCTATATATTTATTTGGAATTCTGTCAAGTGTTATTTTCCGTGCACGCCGATTGGAACACGGGGTCTCGGCATTTCGTCCCATCCGAACGTCTGGTCACCTTTCCTTGTCCGGCCCTCAAACCTGATCTTCTGACAAGGAGAAGCCACGCCGGAAAATACCGAGGAATTTTCTCGGCCAACACCGGGAGCGAGTTTATACCTGTAAATTTTGTTTTATCAGATGAGATTCGCTTTGGTGTTACTGTTAGTGGTAATGGTAGGACTTGTGGTTCCTGCTGAAAGCTGGAGAGTAAGAATTAGACTAAGGAGGTTTTGGAGAAAAGTTAAACCCGCAGTAATCACAGCAGCAATTACAGGAAGATCTACTGCTGAAAAGGTGGATCTTGATGCCCTGGCGAAATCTCTAAAATTGGATCCAAAATCAGAAGACTTTCTTGACATCTTAAGTGTTATAGATACAAATGGTAAGTCTACTTTTACTTTGGCGGCAAATTGCGCGTACACCCACTATCTTTGAAGCTATAACAACATTCAAATATATTAAAATAGTTTAAAACAATAAGAAAGCAATTCTAAGTTTTGAGTTGAGAGAGAGAGAGAGAGAGAGAGAGAGAGAGTGTGTGTGTGATCTAAACCACGCCCCCCCCCCCTCACACACACACACACACCGCCGTAAAACACATGATGTATCGTAATAATGAAAGGAGAAGACACATCCTTTTAATTTATTTTATCTTACTTTCATAGGAGATGATATCATAACACCAGAGGAAGTCGATGCATTCTTTAACGACAGGAAATAAAGGTAAACCGGTTATTTGCCTACAATTATTATTGTGTATAATGTATTCTAGTTTATAACAATTACACAATTTCATAATAATGTATACGAATTACTCATGTAAACACACCGTACAATTTAACTGTACTGGTGATCAATCTTCTGAAGGATTACTATTCGTCAATAGTTTTGTAAGTTACTATAACAATGGAGAGAGAGAGAAGAGAGAGAGAGAGAGGGGGGTTTAACGTCCACTCGACACAAACCAGGTCATTTCGGGACTAATATATTTCAGTGATTCGCTTGCGCGTAGGGGTCTTTAGCAGTGGGAGGAAACCGGAGGACCAGAGAAAACCCACGAGGTTGGACAGGCGACCCTACTCCTTGTCACGTACAACCGGGGAATCGAAACCACGCCAGTTGACAGACCTACTGATACAGCGCCCGAGCGCTAACCATTCGACCACCCCACCCTACCCTCCTCTATAACAAGAAAGCATAGAAACACGGACGGACTGGGTTGCCCGCGGCGTACTGCCCAACAATCACACCCGTCTGAGCGAGAATATTTCTTTTAACATTTCACAAAATGGTGTTTCTAGAGTTCTAGAATAAACCCTGGGGTTTCTAGCTTATGCACAATCAATATGGCGGCTGAAAATTAGAATGTGACAATCTTACGAATTTATGAAAAACAACGTAAATTCAAAACTAAAAAAACAGCGTAGTCTACGATATCCACAGATAACCACAGACTCCTTCCTATAGATAAATAAAATGAAATGGGGTTTAACGTCCTACTGTTCTGCTCCTATACTGAGCTAATGAAGACGGAAAACTTGCCATGTCGGTTTTTCAGTCTACCTTTTGGCCGTGAAAGCTCTCTGGATTTCCCAGTCTGGGTTTCCCCTTGACAGTGGTGCAGCGGCGAAAGCCATGGTATGGAAAATACATCTAGTTGTTCCGATGGCACGTAAAGTCAAGGCCAAATTTGGTAGAAGAACCCATGCCAGTTTGAATTTTCGTCTCACAAAACAATCTATACTAATATTTGGATTTATCGCCCAATAATACATTCCACAGTAGATATCGCTTGTGTGATATATTTCATAATCTACTGCGATATATTGGTCAGTTGAAATGGAACTACTTTTTTTTATTTTCAAAGAACAGTTCATTTCTTATTAAAAGTAACTTTTTTTTTTCAAAAATGAACTATTGTTATTCAATTGACCTTGATGGAAACACTGGGCCAATATAAAGGACTTTGCAGTGGTTGAATTGCTGTCAAAAAATGATGTATCACTACGCCGTAATGTTCAGTAAAAGTGAAATCTACAGCAAAGAATTATATTTATCTATTTGTGCATGTAAGAAGGGATTGGGTGATAAATAAAATCTCCTACTCGTCTTTTTTGATATCAAAAAATATCAACACTCGTTGATAAGGTAAAATAAACTCGACAGAGCCTCGTTTTTTGTTACTTTATCAACTTGTGTTGATATTTTTTGATATCAAAAAAGACTGGTAGGAGATTCTCTATATATCTATACTAATATTTGTGACTGTTTGTCTGTTCAGGGTTGGCGGCTGACCTAGGGCTGTCCCGAAACTAAAATTGGGTGTATATGGGTAGCTCGGAACGGGGAGTAATATGGGATAGGTGGCGTTGGACTACCACTTCTGGTTTTGGAGATATACTACTTTCAACCCACGCAGCACCGGGTCATCCGCTAGTAAACACATAAAAACTATAATGTAATTTAAATTTACATTCACATAGAAGGGAGCCATTGTTAGACCAGAAAAATTAAAACAAATGTAGACAGATTACTATGTTTACGTTGTCAGTTTAATGGAACTATCCATAATCGTCTTTTATACAAGAAAGTTGATAACGTTGAGAGAATACTGTCTACGTCACAAAAATACACCAGTAGCTGTTTTCCATAAATTTCTCTTATTGTTTATTATCCATAATCTTGTTTATTTTTATTTTTTTTATAGAAATCGGAGATACACAAGGATCCTATTACGATGTATCATTTAACAGCTGTATTATCACCTGAATAAATCAGGAGCATCATTATTTTGTTGTTTTATATTTTTTTACTACTAAGTACATTTTCGACTTCGTGTTCCTTTATGGGGCGTTCTCGGTTCTACTGTTTTTGGGCAGAATATGTGCAAATAGTGTTAGTGTTAAAGGAAATGAAATCAAATCAAATGTTCTGCTCCGATTGGGCTAATGAAGACATTCGTACGCCATACAGTGTACTATGAAAGAACTTTTGCCCGGACAGCGGCGCTACGGCCTACACTTATATCGAATTCCAACTGCCAAGGATTTTTTTTAGTTGCACGCCATTGTGTAAACTCGGTTTTTCGTACAATCCGAACAACACTACGTTGTCTCTTGCCACGCCCTCTATCCTGCATCACTGACATGGGGGAACCGCGCCGGGAAATCCCGATGTATTTTCTTAGTGTTAAAGGAGCCATGCAGTGTAATATGGAGAGAGAGAGAGAGAGAGATGGTTTAACGTCCACTCGACACAAACTAGGTCATTTCGGGACTAACACATGGTTCAATTTTATTTTAATAATTCGCTTGCGCGTAGGGGTCTTTAGCAGTGGTAGGAAACCGGAGAACCCGGAGAAAACCCACGAGGTTGGACAGGCGGCCATACTCCTTGTCACGTACAACCGGGGATTCGAAACCCCGCCAGTTGACTCAATGACAGACTCAATGATACAGCGCAGCGCGCACGTGCTAACCATTCGGCCATCACCCCCCCCCCCCCCCCAGTGTAATATGAGGAGACATCTCAGATATATTTCAGAGTGAAATGGGGTTTAACTCCCACTAGGTCATATCGGGACTAACATATGGTTTAATTTTATTTTATTTCAATAATTCGTTTCCGTGTGGGGGACTTAAGCAGTGGGGGGAAGCCGGGGGACCTGGAGAAAACCCACGAGGTTGGACAGGCGACCCTACACCTTGTCATGTACAATCGGGGAATCAAAACCACGCCCGTTGACTCAATAACAAACCTTATGATATAGCGCGCATGCGCAAACCATTCGCCCAATCTACCCCCTCCCCCCACCCGATATATACTCTTCAAAAAAGTAGGGGATATTCAGAAACAATACAAAACTGCTGAAATGCACTGCTGTTTTTATTAGCGGCAACCAGTGTATATTAATAACAGACCATTGCCTACACATGAACATAAACAGTTTATATGGGCGGCTTATCTGACGGCCCCATACACTGTCAAAAGTGAAAATGGACATTTTTGATTTTTGTCTTAATAATGAGTAATTGCTCCACTAATCCTCAGACATTCAGCAATTCGTCGTGGCATGCTCCTAATCAACCGTCCAATCACGATTTAGGGCAATCTGACCCACTCCTCTTGCAGTGCCACGGCCAATTCTTGCAGTGTTGTCGGTTGACGTTGACGAACACGTCTCCCAATCATGTCCCAGACATGCTCTATAGGGGAAATGTCAGGACTCATGGCTGGCCAAGGCATATGGACAATATGGTGACGCTGGAGGTAGTCATTCACGACAAGAGCGCGGAGGGCACGGGCATTATCATCTTGAAAGATGAAACGTCGACCTGCACGTTGAGCAAAGGGCAGAACTATCGGTGCTCTATGGAAACAAATCAATCTAAAGATCTATAGACATAAATCATAGAGCTGCAAATCGATCTAGAGATCTATAGACGTAAACCATAGATCTACAGATAGGAATCATTTAGCTACAAATCAAACAATTGTAGAGGTGAAGTTGAGCAGCTTCAAAAATTAATCATTGAGTTATAAATTAAGACTTTTATTTTTATTAAAACAATCTTATTAATAATATAAATAGATGAATACAAGTAAATCAATACATCTCAGAAATTTGCAAATTTAGACAGTATATATTTTTAAAATTTTTTTTAAAAAATGCAATAAAAAGTGGATGTTACGTTTTTTGAGAAGCACTATAATCTTGAAAACATACATAAGTGACCTTCTCTAAATCATTGAAACGTGGATCATCATTGAGGAAATAAAATGAAGGATAATTTGTTACATAAGATAGACCAAACTGATTGGTCATATCAGCAAAAGCCACTTGACCACCATAACCTGTATGCCCATAAACAGTGTCACCCTGGAAGAAAAATTATGCACAATATTCATAACATAATACAATCATTCCCCAGGTCCATAGCTAGGGGGGAGGGGGGGGCAAACCAATGTCACTCGGATTTATGGGACACCCATTCTGATATGGGTTCGTTGGTTGTTGGCTTTGTATTGCGTCCAATGGAAAGGCCACCCGCCCCCACACACACACACGCCCCACCCTCGTTAGCTACGGGCCTGGTCCCATCCAACAAAACTTTTTGAGGAAATGAAATGGGGTTGGATTTAACATTCTACACCATCTAAGCTACTGAAGATGGGCAGTGAGGGGCATTTTGTCCGGCACTAAGGCCTACTTTTATTTTAAGTTCCAGAAGTCAAGGTGTCATTTACATGCACGTCTATATCACTACAACCCGGGTATCATTTAGTTGTGTTCTTTTAGTAGAAGTTTCTGTATTTAATGTATAGTTTCTAGAGCAGTGTTGAGTAATTAATTAGTTTGTTAATTCCTGAGCACTGCTCTAGAAACTATACAGTTATTATCTGATCTAGATAGACCATTGAAACGACTAGATACTGTTCCTTGCCAGGCCCTCCGCATTGGACCACTGACAAGGGGAAGGCAGGCTGGTAAAATCCTGACTTACTTTCTAGGTTAAGATCTCAATTTGCTATTGACTATGAAATCTGTGATAATATTGCCCATAAAAAGCAGAATCGTGACTGGTGACTTTTCTACTGATAGCATAAACTACTGCAGTGATTTATCATACAACTGAACCATTTTTTAGACTTATATCCCTTTTAGCACTGGTAAGCAGATACCTTTGACTTATGAATCTTGGCTTTTTAGTAATGGCAGTTTTTATCAATAAATGGTCATTATTCTACCCTAGTGTTTAGTATGTATGGCAAGCGGTTAGAAATTATACAGTTGTCGTTAATTAGCAGGTGTGTCAGTTGTCATTAATTAGCAGGTGTGTAACTAGCTGTAAAAGATGTCATTACTGGTGTAAAAGCGTGACTATTTATAACACCCATCACTATTGAATACACAAACCTGGACAACAGTGATGTATATCCTTCAATAGTCACAGTTTTAACACCTTAGTGACATAACACCTACTTTATAAACATTATGTATACAAACTGATTTCTTTTATCTGCTAGTGTTTTAATTTTCAAAATTCAAACATTTTTCATATATATTTAGCCAGATGTGCCACTATTTTTTCATGGGTTCCATGGTGTGTCTTTGGCAAAAAAAGGTTGAGAACCACAGGTGTAGAGATTCAATTTCTACAACTTCCAAGTTGAGTACATTTTAATGTTTAATAATAAAATAATCGTTTTCTATACCGCTGAACATTCAGTCAGTCTGACTGCTCTGTGTAATAAGATGGATTAGAAAAACCTACCTGTGAGTTTTTAAGACGAATGAAACCTCGTCCATACGACATGTTTACTAATAAAGTATTATCTAAACCCTCTACCATTTTAGTGTTTAATTTTTCTATTGAATCTTTTGATAAGAGTTGCTTCCCTTGATAAGTTCCCCCACTTGCCAAAATGCCAAATATTTTAGCTAACGCTTTCGCTGAGGAATAACCGTTACTACTTGTAAATGGTACGGCTCTGATAACTGGATTATTCTGTCTATCACGCTGAAAAACAATATGCAACTGTTCAACTGGATGCAGAAACTATTCTAATGTTTATACTATTCTAAGGTCTACACTATTCTAAGGTCTACACTATCCTAATGTCTATACTATCCTAATGTCTGTACTATTCCAATGTTTATACTATTCTAATGTCTATACTATTCCAATGTCAATACTATTCCAATGTCTATACTATCCTAATGTCTAAACATTACTATTCTAATGTCTATAATATTCCAATGTCTACACTATTCTAATGTCTACACTATTCTAATTGCTACTTCTGCAGGACTTCTGCTGAAAAATGTATCGACTTATGACCCGAAAAATACAGTAATTTTGGAGGAATTTGAAACAGGTACAGATTGAAAGTAGTCGGCACGCTTTCATTCTATGGTATTACGGTCACGTAATTTTGCAGGAATATTATTGACATAAATTTTAATACCGTACAGGAATTAAACATGAAAAATAACATGGTGCACCTATCTTTCGTTACTATGAATTTGAATGTTTTGTTGATACATGATTCTTAATTGCAGTTTGAAAATGCCTGCTTAAATAACCATAACCAGAGTTGTGCCCCTTTATTTTCGGGAAAAAATGTCTGACGAGAAAAATTTGGAAATCCCATCACTGGTCTACACTATTCTGATGTCTACACTATTCTAATGTCTAAATGACCAGATAAAAATAAAAAGAAATGGGATTTAATATCTTATGTCCCGATAAAAATGAAATCAGAGCACATAAGGCTGCATTCTTAAAATATTTTTGTTTTCTTGATTCAATGACAGACCTTATGATTCAAGGCGCACATGCTAACTATTCGGCCATCCAACGGTTTACTTACCTCTTCAATCTCTTTCGGTGCTTTAAAAGCCGAGGCTGTGTGTGATGTAGGGTTAAATATAGCACTCATATAAAATTTGATATAATTGATATCGAATGACAATAAAACACCTAACAATGTATGTGTTGTCGTTATAAAAGTAGACTTTGTCACTCGATAATTCTCTTCATATGGCAAACCAATAAAAAAATCTATGCCTGAAAAGAAAATAACATTTTTAATGGAGATATTCTACATAGATAATTCTCAGTGGATAAAATACATATCAATTTTTGTGTAAGTGTCATGGAGCCCATTATCCTAGGTACAAACTACAATTTAAAGATGCATTATATAAGATTTAGAAATGAAATGAAATGAGTTGGGGTTTAACGTCCTACTGTTCTGCTCCTATACTGGGCTAATGAAGACGGGCATACGCCATACAGTGTGCTATGAGGGAAATTTTGCCCGAACAGCGGCACTATCGCCTACTCTTATATCGAATTCCAACTGCCAAGGGATCTTTTACGTGCATTCCAATGTTTACATGGGACCGAACACCCGACCTCCAGGCTAGCGAGCCAGCACCTTACCCACCTAGCCACCGTGGCTCCCCTATATGAGATTTAGATAAAAATAAATAATGAAACATGTATATATCAAAAATTTCATTTAAATTACTTTTATTCTGGGAGAAGTTATGAGAGAGAGAGAGAAATGGGGTTTAACTCCACTCGACACAAACTAGGTCATTTCGGGACTAACACATGGTTTCATTTTATTTCAATAATTCGCTTGTACGTAGGGGTCTTTAGCAGCGGGAAGAAACCTGAGGACCCGGAGAAAACCCAAGACGTTGGACAGGCGACCCTACTCCTTGTCACGTATACCCGGGGAATCAAAACCCTGCCAGCTAGTTGACTCAATGACAGACCGTATGTTACAATGTGCACAAGCTAACCATTCGGCCATCCGGAGAACTTATGACTGTTTGAAGATGTAGCATAGATCGTTCATTTTCATAGCCTCGATTATCCATTTTATAATTATATTTCAAAATCTTGTGGGTGTTCAAATCCATTGAAATCTCAGCCATCCAATCGTCTAGAGAGTTGATTAATTGGCTCGTCATGTGAATAAATCATATAACACATGAAGCCAAAATAAAGATCTACAATAGGCAGATTCAACTCTTACACAACGCATCTTTAAAGTCTGTCATATTTACCATATTCATCTGCTATTTCTTCTTTAAATATCTGACCTATATTACGATGTTTTACATCAGCTTTTTGAAGAAGTGTATCTACCAATAAGGCGAAGGACAGCATATGATAGCCATGTTGTGTTCCTATAAATATAATATTCCAATTTAATCTATTGTCAGTATTATATATGAGGTAAAGGATATAACGTCTCATTAACATTTTACTTAGGTTATTTTGAGACTAATGTATAGAAATGTCTATTTCTATGGTTACAAGTGAAATGAAAAGTAAGGGTGGTAGGGCGGTTTGCTTGAACAACTCACTTTAAAATACAGATTTATATTTCGTTTCGTTTTTTTATACTTTCGATGGCCTACACTAAATGAAGATCTGACCAGTTGTACTGGGAGGTTACATCAGGGGTCATACGAGCACAGCTTTTGACCCTATGATGTCAGACATTGATTAATCAATCAGCATTGACATTTCTAGGGGTTTACCCACAATTTCTTGCACAGCATGCCAAGAACTCACCGTAATAGACCGTTTCATTGCCTAATTGCTCACATCAACTAGAACGCCAGTAATATACATGTAACAACTCTTCCAGATCCTAGTGTAGTAAATACAAGTATAGAATTGAACTATAAAAAACCAAATGAAAAAGGTTCTGTGTTTTAATCAGATTGGTTTACATGTCAATTTGTACACAAACTCAGTGCTCGAAATTTACCACGGCAAACCCATGGTAAAAGCCGATGCCCCCCCCTCCCAAAAAATTTTTTCACTCCACTCGGCATAACCTGGGCACATCCCTGTACATGTACAGTGGATTTTATTTTACTGGAAGTCATTTCAAACAAAATTCAGCATTTTATTCATAAGAGATGAAAACATTTCATTTTTTAGCATGGCTTAAACAGTTGGTATCATGATGAATCAACAGCTTGACAATCTGAATTCACAATCATTAATTATGGATAAATTCCTTAACTCGATTACATAATAAAGTCTAACCTGATGGCCACTCAGGAGTTGCCTCGGCAACCTCTTTCTGCAATTCTTCTTTATTCAACAGAATATCCTGGAGAGAGTTAAAATTTGGAGCTGGATGCAACAAACCTGCCTGTAAATAGATTCACATTCATCAATTAATTACAAGAGATTGATAAACTGGGTTCAGTGTCCACTCAGCACAAGTTAATTAGGTTATTTTGGGACTAACCCAGAATATTTTTATTTCAATAAATATTTTGGGATTTAGAAGTAGGAGTCGATAGAGAAAGCTACATGACTTGATGGTGACCCCATGTTACATACATGTGCAAGCATGGGGTCAAACCCCTGACTTGCATCTATAACAGGCCTTAATATCTACATGTTAAACCACCAATGCCAAATCCCATAAACAAACATTAAGACATGATTTTCCCATGTTAGTGGTGTAGGACAAAGGGTCAGGCATGGAACAGTATCTAGCCTGTAGGATGAGATGGAAAACTGAGTGTACACATTGGCAAGAACTAGAAGGAAGCTTGACAGCTGGAAACCAAACTAAGAGTGGGCGGCTGTCCGAGCAAAATGTCTCCTATAGCACACTGCATGTATATGCTATGCCCATCTTTATATTAGCCCAGTTGGCGAAGAAACTACATTTCATTTCATTTCATTTCTATAAAGGACTACAATACCTGATGACTTAATAACATCTCTACTGTAATATTATCTTTACTGTTGACTTTAAACTCTGGCCAGTAAGCTGAAACAGGTTTACTATAGTCTAACCATCCCCTTAATATAGAAATAGTTCAATTCTAATTAATTCCTAAAGATAGTTAACTGCTGAATAAACATAATCTTTCATTTAGTAACTGGATAGAACAGTAAACTATAACACATACTTAATGGAAAACAGCAATCGATTCATTTGGACGATGTTGGAAGAGTATTCTCTAAAAAACATCAAGCTAATAGTAATACAAATAAATTAGTACCGGTAACTGTTTTCTACAAGTAAATGTATCTGTTATAGTTTATTGCTGAATAAACATTTTCTTTTACAATGAGAGCTCATTGGGATTTTCTGGCAGCTGTCTATATATATTTCATATCATACAATTCTGTAGTTCTACAGTAGAGTACGACATAAAGTATTGATCTATGTACTCTGAAGTTACTGAAGTCAATTCTATGCCTAAACCAAATTTGGTGAATAAACGCCCTGTTGCAGGATTTCATACACTAAATTATGCACATAATGAGTGGATATTGAATTATAGAAAGCGGGCAATGATACGTGTGAAATAGCTTTATTTAATGTCTGCTTCCACCGAGGTGATATCGCAGACAATTACATGTTATATATACATAGTGAAATATTTACAATGTGATTAGTGGAAAAAGGATAATTAGGTTTTAATGATATGATACTGTAGCCTACTAAATACAATTGTCTTTTTTCTTATAAATACTGAAACCATACTCACTTTTCCACCATCTTAGCAGCTGTAATGGCTGCCATGCTTTTAGAAATAGAAAACGCCAATGTGAGAGTATTATTATCCCATGGTTGTGCCGAATCTTCATCAGCATATCCTCCCCATAAATCGATCAATAATTCTCCTTTATAATACAAGGCAAATGCTGCACCTTTCTCTTTACCATTTTCTATTTTATTTCTACAATAAGATAAATACCTGGTATTTTTAGGGTCTTAAAAGAGTTGGTAAAAAAATAATCATTTTCAACTTAACATGATTTGAATAGGCCTATGTAGTTATTTTGTCAGGTTTTTTTTTTAATTTCTGAAAGCCGGCAGATGCGATTTTGACCATTTTGTGACATGTACATGTAATTAGGCTACTCTAAAAAGATGTGTTGTGGAATGGTTTGACATATGTTAGTAATAATATTATTAGAAAGGCAATAGTCTATCCATATCATTATACATGTACCACTTGAAATAATGGTGGATTTGGGTAAATTGTGAGATTACATGTCATTTGGGACTCACGTCATTTGGGACTTGCGTCATTTGGGACTTAAAAAAATATGACCACGACATTTGGGACTCGGGTATACCACGTTTGGGACTCAGGATAATTTATTAGAAATAGGCCAATTCAAAACACGAAAGAAAATATTTATTAACATGAAACACGTGGTTAGTAAAAGGCTCAACCAAACGATAAAACATTAGTTAGTTGCACTTACGGTTCTTTGATAATCATCGTTTCTCATAAAAGTTATATATTTATTTAAAACGAATAATATTCTGATGAATTTATTTGAAAATGACCTACACAAAAAATAAAATAAATATTTACACATGCAATCTTTTTTACATGCCCCTAGAAATTGTGAACGATAATCCGTGAGCTGCACGTTGACATGCTTGTCGTAGATGGCAATACCAATAGATAAATTAGTGCGTACAAGGCAAAGATTTTTTGTGGAAAATATAAGAAATGGCAACGATCAAAGCGGGATAATTAAAGCTGATTAACTGATAATCCCGATGTTATTGCAGTATGTTCAAAGAAACCTAACGGTTCTTTGGTGGATGAGGAAAAACATGAGTTGTCAATCATCGAGAATGGCGGCCGTGTGTTGATTGCAGTTATACCGTTTCACGAAAAAACATTAGCAGTGGTCGGTCAATCAAGCTCGTTTACTATTTGATAAAAGAAAAACAACGAAGTATTACTAAATATACACAAATTTTCAACAATATATTATTGTCAAGTTTTATACTCGCAGATAAAAGAAAACGAAGGAGAAGTTTTATACTCGCAGATAAAACAAAACAAAGGAGAACTAGCAGTGTTAATCACGGTCTCAACAATCACCGATCAACTAAATAAAACGAAAGACAACTAAGACAGCTGTTACTATATATCTCATAAATAAATAGTCCCAACTGTCATTTATATTGAGTCCCAAATGTCGTTTGTGTTGAGTCCCAATTGACGCCAATCAAGTCCCAAACGTAGTCAACTGAGTCCCAAATGTCGTTTATGTTGAGTCCCAAATGACGTGAGTCCCAAATGACGTTATACCAATTGTGATACCCTAAATAAATTTGTGTCAAAATATCCTTAAAACAGAGATGGGGAAGAGCGGTATTTTCATATTGCAGAGGACAGAGGACAGCTTCCGATCAGAGACCATTCCTAAAGGAACTACATGTACCACTGTCAATTTGAATTGCACCATGGACCTTACAATAAACAATAATAATGCATAGTTCCATTTGGAACAGCTTATTATCAGACTGTACAAAATGAAAATAAGGCTTTCCCCCACCTCGGTTCTAAAGCTAGAATTTTTGTTTACGGTAACATTCCATTACTAAATTCTGAATATTGGCTGAGCATAGACACAAAACTGTGACCTCCGGTCTGCGCATGCCCGGGTTTCCTGATAGCAGACCAATTCAACTAATTCTACTTGAAAATAGTGTTGAATTATTATAAATTTGTTTCAGATGTACTGAGAATCACGGTAAAAAATAGACGTTAAGGATTCCAAAATAGCCTTACACCCGAGGTGGTGTAAAGCGTTATTTTCGTACAATGTATGGTGATCATGTTTGATCCGACTCCCTTTTCTATTTCCATCAGTTTTACACTGAAAAACTAGCGGTTAGCCATCTGTGGCCTACTGACTGGACATGGAACTTCCTACTTTCTATTAGGGTTAGGGTCAGGTATTTAAGATTAAACCCTATAACACAAAAAAAGAAGTCACATCAAACATGAATGACTAATGTATGACATGTGTATAGGGGTCAGACAGTAACGGATATAGGACAGTGTCCGATAAGAAGCCGTTACTAAACTTACTAAGGATTGCACAACTCATATTGTAAATTTCATTTGTTTACGTTTTACTCCGCCATTGATGTAAGGGATATAACTTCAACTCTATAGGAATCGGTCCTACCTGAATATTTCAGCTACTCTTCTAAATTTTGGATGGAAATAGCCCTCTACGATTGGTGGAAGTTTCGGTTTAAACATCAGTGACAAAATATTCCATGATAATGCTGCACAAACCACTAAAATTGATCCTCGAATTAAACTCATAATGTAAATTTCATTTGTTTACGTTTTTCTCCGCCATTGATGTAAGGGATAGAACTCTAACACGGGTCAATTTAGGTTATCCAGACGTACAAGATGGTGATTTTGTTATCCAGTCACATTGAAGGGACGGTTTCCAATGACGTCTACAGTATAGAAGTCATTGACGGTGTCAATGAGTATAGATCAGTGGTTCGCAACCTTTTTTTGCCAACGGCACACCTTGGAGCACATGAAAAAATAGCGGCACACCTGGTTAAATATATATGAAATATATTTGAATTTTGCAAAATAAAGATATGATAAGTCAGACGTCATACAACCATAGACAGAGACTACGCATAGACACTTAAAATGACTCAGAAAAAAACAGCCATGATGTTACCAGTAGACACCAGTGAATACTCAATTGGGATCACATGGTTTTTCGCATTTACTTAGTGTGTCGTCCAAAATTTCGCAGCACACTTAGGAAGATCTCGTGCCGCGACACACTGTTTGAGAATCACTGGTATAGATAGACGTCATTAGATGGTGCCACCACAATGAACACCCATTTTGTTCTAGAAGTATGTGTGTGGGGTGGGGTGGGGGGAGCTAAGTGTGCTGCTGCCAGGGGCCCCATGCTATATTAGTTCTAAAAACCATTTTTGTATTATAAATAGATATGTCTGAGACTTGTAGATCCTTATGCCGCCGGGTAAACGGTGTCTAGACCAACTGTCAGCGGGGACATCTAGTGGGACACTACATACAATATCCGAATAACCATACAATTCAAATACGGATGGAATTTATACAGCACTGCCGATTGCTGATGGGGTTCAGTTGTATTGCCCTTGAAAATTTAAATAAAATGAGGTTTAGCGTCCTACTGTTCTGCTCCGACTGGGTTAATGAAGACGGCGTCCTTGAAAACGACGAAATATAGGATAGAAATTAACTCAGTTAATATTTTTATTAATTTTATTTTTGTGCAGATTATTATTTTAACATTGTGTATAAAATATAAAAGAGTATAATAATGTTTAATATAACTATTGATTTAAATACTGATAAACGGTCTTTTAATACTGAATAAAAATACAACAATTAAACATCACACAAAGCAAATCCTTTATTTAAAGGCGGATTCTTTAAGTTCTTATTGAGGAAAACATAAATTAATTATGTCAAAAAGTCAACACTTGTACTTATTGAGGAAAATAACTTTTCAAAAACATAAATTAATTATGTCAAAAATTCAACACTTTAATTTCATACTCATAGAAAGTCTTGACAGTAATATAAGATGTTTGAGCGGCATTTAGCAATTAATACACTTAATAAACACAATAAGGAACACATTGCTTGATAATGTTGAAAGGACCCTCAAAGAAACGTTTGTGTTCCATATTATGTTATTGTGTTTAGTAGTGAGATAAGAGCCAAGCAACCAAGAGATACAATGACAGAATACGGAACACAATTACTATTTGCTTAACAACAAAAACACATACTTATTGAAAACAGCTACTAGTGTAGGCTATTGGCTTGATAACGTTGAGAGAATACTCTACGAAACGTCGCCTTAAAATACACTAGTATCTGTTTTTCCATAAGTATGTTTCTTTGTTGTTACTATACTATTCAAAAAAAGTAGGGGATATTTGATTTTGGGGGCATAATACTAAAATATGCAAATGACTACGAAAAAAGTCACTATAGAACCTAACAGAAGAAACATTTCCAGTTACATGTGACGCCCAAACGCACCAATAGCTACCGCATGGAATGCAGGTGATGCTTGGGATCATCATGGGGGTCCAACCCAAGATTTGCACGACTCTGACTTTGAATGTTACAGTCATTGTGGCATTGAATTCCAGGGTGGAAACATCAGTTTAATTGTTTTAGTGACCAGAAAACAAATTTTGATATGCGTCGGCTTACCCAAAATGAAAGGTTACGTGCCCTTGGCATGCTACAGATCGGCACAACACAGGCGGTTGTGGCGCGGACGATGAATGTTTCTCAGTCAGTCATAAGCAGGCTATGGTCCAGATACCGTGATACACAATCTGTACAGGACAGACCACGCTCAGGTCGACCAAGGGCGACAACTCAAGCCCAGGATCGATTTATCCGTACCTTGGCCTTGAGAAATCGTGTCATCACAGCAAATCAGATCAGCGCTCGTCTTCAAACAGACACTGGTGTGAGAGTGAGTGGCCAGACGATTCGGAATCGACTGCATAGGGGTCACCTTCGCGCCCGACGTCCTCGCGTGATCCCTTGTTTGAGAGATCATCACATTCAGGCAAGACGTCGTTGGTGTAGGGATCGTCAACACTGGGATAATCGACGCTGGAGCAATGTGATGTTTTCAGATGAGTCAAGGTTCACTGTTGATTTTTTGGACAGACGTAGGAGGGTGTGGCGTCGTCGAAACGAGCGCTTTCAAGACGTTAACGTCATCAGACATGATCGATTTGAGGGTGGTTCTGTTATGGTGTGGGGAGGCATCACTGTTGCTGGAAGAACGGCTTTACATGTTGTTGCAGGGCGTGTTACAGGCCAGTACTACCGGGACAACATCTTGGCAGTCCATGTTGTGCCGTTCGCACGACGTCATGGCCACCGTTTCATCTTCCAGGATGACAACGCAAGATGTCACAGGGCCAGGATCGTTACAGGTTACCTCCAACAACAGAACATCACCACATTACCTTGGCCAGCACTAAGTCCCGACCTCTCCCCCATCGAGCATGTCTGGGACATGCTTGGACAGAGGTTACGTCAACGTCAACAACGTCCTGCCAATGTCCAAGAACTTGCTGCTGCGTTGCAACAGGAATGGGACAATCTGGACCAAAATGACCTTAGACGTCTCATTAGGAGTATGCCACGTCGGATCAATGCTTGTTTGGCAAACAGAGGAGGATTTACCCGTTACTGACTTGGTTGTGATGCTGTGGTAACTTTGCTGTTTGACCCCGGGTATCATTTTACCCTTATAATGGTCAGTCTGTGCCTTACTTAGTCTAACGATCATTTGGAATAAATCGATGAATGTGAACTTCATTTCATTTTGTCATTTGTTTCTTCGTCAGTTTCACTTAAAAATCAAATATCCTCTACTTTTTTTGAATAGTATATATCTAGTTACTAAATGCCATTTAAAGATAATAACTGTTTGCTTGATAACGCTGAGAAGAGAACCAAAGGAACGCAGCGTTAATTATAATAGTAATCGTGTTCCATATTGTTATTGTGTTCATGAGCCCAAGAGACACATTGGCGGCCTCCTTTCATCTAACTTCTCATGACCAAAACAAATACAGGAGAAGTTGATTCGTAACGTAAACAAATTAAAAGACGTTTATAAAGCCTTATCCTAGTCCTGTGCATAATTATCCAGAACCCTTTAATACCCTTTTTTGAAAGGGGAGAGAGAGAGAGAGAGAGAGAGATGGGATTTAACGTCCACTCGACACAAACTAGGTCACTTCGGGTCTAACACATTATTTCAATAATTCTCTTGCGCGTAGGGATATTTAGCAGTGGGAGGAAACCGAGGTACCCGGAGAAAACCCACGAGGTTGGACAGGCGACCCTACTCCTTGTCACGTACAATTAGAATCGAAAATACGCCAGCTGACACACAATGACAGACCTTATGATACAGCGCGCACGTGCTAACCATTCGGCCATCAAACCCTCCTTTTTGAAAGGAATAAAATCTTTCAGATTAGATCTACCCAAATGACATGGCGTTTAACCATGTCTATATTTGTAGAAGTTTGCTGTGTATACAGTATTTAAACTCACTTTTATTTACGATTTCCTGTGAAATTGGCACTTTGCCATAAAGAAAAGGTACGATTATCTGTTCACAGTTGACCAATGGTCACGTATAAACTACTGCCAAATTGTTGATTTTAAATATTGATGTAACAACCCACAAGTAGTGTGTAGGTTATTGTGGCACTGCGGTATGTATAGATAGCATATAAGTTTGGCAGTTCAGTATATTTAACAACCACCTACACGTATACATACGTAGGAGTAGAATTTGTTTTAAAAATATTATTGTGAAGCCCATATCATCATCTACATACACCAACAAAATTATTTTCTGTGGTTTATAACAAAAACTAATACATTACCAAAAAGAAAAAATTTATGAAATACTATTGGTATTCTTAGTTCACGAAATATAACTGTCATATTTAATCCGATCCTTTTCCAATTCAGCTTTTAGGCTTTGTTCCGTTTGTGAAGCTTTGTTTTGGCTACCTCTGGGTATTAGATTCAGTGAGTCATTGGACAATGACGATTCAATAGATTTGTCAGTATCATCATCACCTTCAGCTCGGCCTTCAGCTTCAGCCGCCTCGATACTGTCTTCCTCGAGTGCATCACCAGAACCGCCAATGTCTAAGCTATCCAAGCTCTCGTTTATTATTTTTGTCTTTCTGGGTTCGATAACGTGTATGTTTTCTAAGCTTTCTGTCAACAATATATCGTCTGGACTTCCTAGGCTGTCCTTATCCATGTTTTGTTCTGATGTAAGGCAACCAGTCTCTCTTGCTTCAACACTACTACCTTTAACAATATCCACATTTCTAGGTTGGGGACTGGGATTTTTAGCCATACTTATTTCAGTAGTATCAACACCACCACTTTTCAATTCATTGCTTTCCATATCCCCAAGCGACGATTCCAGCACCTGTTTACTAGATCCAGTTCCTTGGGCTGGAACCTTCAACTTAAGGACACCTCCATCTGTACTAAGTCCACCATCTCCCCTACTGCTACGTGCTTCCTCATCATCGAAAGTAATGATCTCTACATTTTTCTCACCTTCTTTGTGCTTGTACTGGATCAGATCGGCAGCAGTGACCTCTGTTGGTTCTCCATTATCGTGATGTTCAATCTTCAGGATTTGGACTCTTATTGGCGGCTGTTCAGACGAGTCTAACTGATCACCACCTGATCTTGGTTGACCAGCTTTCTGTCGTAGCTCATCTTCTAACTTTTGCCTCTCCTTCATTTTCAAGTAAGCATCAACTTTCTGCAAAGCCTCTTCGAGATTCGAGACACGCTCCACACCAAGTCGTAAATCCGTTGGTATCTCCATATAACCATCCCTCTCTAACTTGGACTGGATAACGAAACGTAGACACTTCTTGTAGTCTGTTCTCTTTATAATCTTATCATCTGAAAAACAATTTTGGAATTAAATCGTATATGGCAGGAATTTGCAGATCCTTTGTTGTTTTATCAGGGTGTTATCAAAGACCAGAATTTATAGAATCCTGGCCAGATCCTTATAAAGAGTTTTAACCGAGTGGTGTAGATGCCCTCCTATCCTAAACTCCAGCCAGGGCGGCAGTGGGGCATTTGCGGGCAAAGTTTAACTTGGTTTGAATTTTATTTATCCAAACAGAAGATATTAAAACAGCGTCTCCTACTAAGAATATTTACATATTTTACATTAACCTACCAAGAAGTGACCAGGCCTCAACTCCATCAACAATTGGACGAATCCAGGTTGATTTTCTTTTCTCTAACCCCGTGCCATCTGGCGGATACACTGTCCATAAAATCTCAATAACCTCGTCTCGCGTTAAGGGTCTGCAGACGTCAGTTAAACCAGGGTTATCGTTTCTTGCTTTCCCATCAACATGGTCACTTCCTGTACATCAATGTAAGAAAATAGAAAATATATAAAAACTATTTACCATATAATCGATTGGGATTCAATTTGTAAATGTTGCGCCCTAGTCCTGTAGCCAAAGGTGGAGATATTGTCCAAAAGATATCGAGGACCTCGGATTTATACAATCCTTCAGACTGTATCCTTGGCAGGATGTGATGACATAGAGCACAACATGCTGAAACACAAAACACGAAAATAGATAAAGCCTCGTCTTTTTTAATTTACGCATACTTCAAAGTAGGACAGTAAGTAACTGAAATAAAATACATACAGCGTTCCTTGCTTCAGCTCTTTAGCACTGTCTAAAGGCTAAAGCAATATTTTGGATAGTGTGTCAGACGTTGATGGGGACACAATGCAGTGTTTAAATGACATTTAGTAACTAAACAGGAAATCTCATGGGTTTTCTCCGGGTCCTCCGCCCCCCCCCCCCCCACTGCTAAAGACCCCTACGCGCAAGCGAATTATTGAAATAAAATTAAACCATATGTTAATCCCAAAATGACCTAGTTTGTGTCGACTGGACGTTAAACCCCATTTCTCTCTCTCTCTCTCTCTCTCTCTCTCTCTCTCTCTTGAGAGATGACGTGGCTCAGCAGTAACTCTTCAAATACCACGTGTAACTTATGTTCGCATGACATCGATGCCTACAAAATGGATAGAAAATCTTTTTTATGTAGTTTTGACCATTGTCTGGAATATTCTAAGAGACGTTGCGGCTGAACACTAACTGTATTCTATACGAAAGGCACGTATAGTATTTGGGGGATATCTGGTTTACATTAGACATGTATTGTTCTTCTTCTGAAAGTAGAATGCCTAATTCAAAATGAAATGATTGAATTCTTACCTAGACAGATCCTGTTTTTAACGAGATCTTTAAGTTGACCTATAGTAGAATAATCTATACAAGTCCTCACATGGTCTTTATCACCAGCTACAGCTTCTAGTTCATCTGCATCAACAGTATATCCAACTCCTTTAAAACAAAATCTAATTATTAGTATTATAACAAAAGGACATACCATTTTTGTACACGTATTTGGACTACAAATAGATACATCTTTATTTTCCAAAAGCGCAAAGGCAGCTGAAATACAGAGCGAAATCACAAGAGATACATTTCTCGTGGATGATAGATTTGAAATCTCTTTTTTGAACCGAACATCAACCAGAACGCGGGTTATCTAACAACTCTTCCAGATCCTAGTATAGTGAAGGCAAGTAAAACGACATTTTGAACTATAAAAAACAAAACGAAATAGGATCTGTGTTTTAACCAGATGGCATTAAGTGAATACATGTACAATTCTTAACAAAAATGAATACTGTCGGATATTTGTAGTTCCAGAGCACTGGCTAAATTGGTAATCTACATGGTACAAAACACTACCATAAACTATAACGTACTTCTAGTAACTTGCAGAACAGGAGGGTATCTGGAAAAGGACAACGTATGTCGTTCGGATGGGACGAAAAACAGAGGTCCCGTGTACACATTAGCGTGCACGTAAAAGAACCACTGACAGCTGGAATTGGATATATGAGTTGGCCGCAGTGCAGCTGTCCGGGTAAAATTCCCCTCATAGCACACTGTATGGCGTATGCCCGTCTTCATCAGCACAGTCGGTGCAGAACAGTAGAACGTTAAACCCCATTTCATTTCATTTCTAGTAAACAAACGGTTGTTATCTTCTGAGTAATAACCGACCGAAATAATGCAGCTATTGATAAATTCAAAGTATATGTATATATTTACCGATGGTGAATATTTCAATGTTTTCCTCTCTGGCTAGTCTGGCTTCTCTAATAGTTAGACCAGCATCTGAAGATTTGCCGTCTGTTATAACTAGAGCTACTTTCTGTACACCAGGTCGGGACGACTATAAATATTGTAAACACACCGATTAAAGATGCATTATGTAGGAGCTAAATTTTTATTTTGGCTTCAAATGTTATATAAAATATTATTTAGACATTTATTTACATGCCAAGCCTATAATTAACTCTCTAGACCATCGGATGGTTGAGATTTAAAATGTATTGAAACATGCGCGAGATTTTAAAATTTAACGATAAAATGAACAATCAAGGCTACTGTATTTCTCGGTTGTCAAGTGCCGTTGCTAAAATAATAAACAAACTACGATATAGCTTCAAACAGTCATAACTTCGCTCAGAATAAAGTTACTTGAATGAAATTTTCAATGTATACATTTAGCATTATCTATTTTGGAACTATTACAACAAGAAGGACTAGCCCGTTATCTACATCTTGCTGTTAAAAGTGCACAAAGCGAGATTGAAGTAATCTATAATCTTTGAGTGGTATTTACCGATCGAGAAACACATTAACAGAGCATAGTTTTTATGGAATACAATCACTAGTTTTATTCTAAAAGTACGACGCTTACTGTTATCTAATCTATGTAAATAAGTTTCACAATGAATTTCATATATGTTGACCTCAAGTATGCTAAATGTTATTGTGCTTAATAATGATATGAGGTTACTTGTCGAAACGTCGTGCTTTTAGAATAAAACTAGTGATTGTATTCCATAAAAACTGTGTTTTGTTAATGAGATTGAAGTATACTATCTGACTTTCTGTTTATTCCAATCTGATTAAAACACAGATCATATTTCGTTTCGTTTTTTATAGTTCAATATAGATCTGTATTTTAATCAGATTGTGTTTATTCTGATCTAAAAGTTTGACTTTTTATTATTTATATATTATATATTTTAGAATCTTAAAAAGGTATTTGCAATATCCTTATCAAAAGTAATAGCGTCTTTATTTACATAAAATGTGTACCTTGAATATCTGCCTCATCATTTTTAAAGCTAAATCTGTTCGTGTTAACCCAGTTTTATATTTTAAATTTTCTGAAACCAAGAAAAAATAATCATATAAATAGCTCATTTCGTTTTTATTAGTAAAGAGAGAGAGAGGGGGGGGGGGGGTAACGTCCACTCGATACAAACTAAGTTATTTCGGGACTAACATATGGTTCAATTTTTTATTTCAATGATTCGCTTGCGCGTAAGGGTCTTTATAGCAGTGGGAGAAAACCCACGAGTTTGGATAGGCGACCCCACTCCTTGACACGTACAACTGGGGCTCGAAACCACGCCAGTTGACTCAATGACAGACCTTATGATACAGCGCGCAGCTAACCACTCGGCCATCCACCCCTATCAGATTTAAAAATGTAAAATATTTCACATTTGTAAATATTTCGCCCCAATTAGATTGCTTTTATTTGTTCCTTACCAATTGCTTCTAGAACTCCTTCTCTGGTTTGGAACTGGGTTAATCCAAAACTGTGGAATACGTTTTCATTGAATGGTACCAATCCGATCCGAACTCGATCTGGGGCAATGTCGAAACCCAGGATGATATCCTTGACGAAATTCAGTTGGTTCTGGAAATTAACTGGTCCAAGACTAGCAGAACAATCCAGAACAAATACAACTTCAGCAGTGTTTAGTGATCCTGAAATATTTAACGTCTTTGTTTAATAAATTGGCTGTTAAATCTATGAACTATTTTCATGATTATCCTAGCTTTGTACAATCACTTTTTGTTCAACTTAATTAACTAATGTCTTCAATATGTATACCAGTTTACTAATTGTCATTTCTGCTTGATACTGGCTCGCTTACCAGGAGGTCCCGTTTTCTGCAGGTGTTGACCGAGAAAGTTTCTCGGGATTATTTTTCCGGTGTGGTTTCCTGGCAAGGAACAGTGTCTAGTCGTTCGTATGAGACAAAAAACGAGATCCCGTGTACATATTGACGTGCACGTAAAGGAATAAGAATAGGTCGTAGTGCCGATGTCCGGGCAAAATTTCCTTCTCCCATAGCACACTGTATGGCATATGTCCATCTACATTAGCCCAGTTGGTGTAGAAAAGTGGGACGTTAAGCCCCATTACATTATGCTTGATAATGATACGTGGGAGATAGGTATAATAAACCAATGAATGTTTATAATTCTTTTAGTCCTGATTAAAACACAGATCCTATTTCGTTTCGTTTTTTATAGTTCAAAATTTCGTTTTACTTGTCTTCACAACACTAGGATCTGGAAGAGTTGTTATATAACAGGCCTTCTGTTACAGCGAATTCTTGGCGTACTGTGCACGGAACTGTGGGTAAACCACTCGGAACGTCAACGCTGATCGATTAATCAATGTCTGGCGTCACAGGGTCAAAAGCCGTTCGTATGATCCCTAACACGACCTCCACTACAACTGGTCAGATCTCAAGTAGCAAAGGCCATCGAAAGTATAAAAAAAAGAAACGAAATATAGATCTGTATTTTAATCAGAATTATTTTAGTCTCGTTATGCCACTACATGATTTGACCCTGAAATAATTCATCAGATTTATTTACGGCAAGTATTAAACATTTCTTTATTGTTCTTTGAAGGATCGTGCGTAATCATTTGTGTATAATATGCACATGGGAGTTGTCTAAAAGAGATCAATTATTATTTCCTGTTGTTTCAAATTATTTTATGGGAAAATATCTATTTTTGTCCTCGTATTTACATATAAAAACATCCTGTTATCAGCATATTTTTGTTCATTTATATTATCAGATATCTATTGTTAGCTAGACAGTGAATATACGCCCACTACCTACCACATTTTCTCATCTCAAGCTTGATCACTCGCGACAAATCGTTGGGGTTCGAGAGAGAGAGGGAGAGAAAAGAGGCGGGGATGGGGTTTAACCTCCACTCGACGACGCAAATTAGGTCATTGTGGGACTAACACATGGTTCAGTTTGTATTTCAATAATTCACTTGCGCGTAGGGGTCTTTAGCAGTGGGAGGAAACCGGAGGATCCGGAGAAAACTCACGAGGATGGACAGATGACCCTACTCCTTGTCAAAACCACGCCAGCTGACTCAATGACAGACCTTATGATACATCGCGCACACGCTAATCACTAACGTTAGACACTAAAGCAAAGATAAGCTAAACAGTAAATCTTATGCAACATGGATAGATGAAGTGTCAAATTTGACAATGAACCCCGCCCACGTGTATGGCGCTATTGCGTGTCGCATGTGGTTCTGTTGGGGCGATAATTTCTTCATCTGTGAACATACTCTCAAAGCATGTCAAGTGTCTATGACTATCTATCATATCACAACCTGCATAGATATTTGCATTTCAATATCCCCTACTTTTTTTGAAGAGTATATATCAAAGATTATTACCTCTATAAATTGTATTAAAGGCTTTTGTTATCTCCCCTTCGGTGGGATATAAACCAGATTGGCGAAAAAACTCGGGGAGATCACTCTTTTCTAGTTTACCATATCCAACCATCTTATCATAAACACGTTCACATTCTAAGACAAAAAAACGAAGAAATCATAAACAAACGAACATATCAAATTAAGTGAATGGGTCCGGGGGCTAGCACTGTACAGTCCATAGCTTGCGTTAAAGTCACTTGAATTGAATGGTCCCCATAATGCTTATTATTCAAGCAAAACCCAGAGAATGCCCTCTGGGTTGGGCAGCAGACCCACTCGTTGTCAAGTACCACGCCACTTGACTCAATAACAGACCTTATAACCCAAAGCACACACGTTAGACAACTCGGCCATCCAACCCCCATGTATTATAATAGAAGCCTGACTGTGTAGAGCTTAAAGGCAATCGGATTAAAATACAGATCTATATTTCGTTTCGTTTTTTTATACTTTCGATGGCCTCTACTATATGAAGATCTGGCCGGTTGTTGTGGAAGGTCGTATCAGAGGTCATACAAGCGGCTTTTGAACTTGTGACGTCAGATATTTGATCAACCAATCACCGTTGATGTTTCTAGTGGGAATTACCCATACCCACGACAAAAACCCCTAGTCTAGTAGAGACAAGTAAAGCGAAATTTCGAATTATAAAAAACGAAACGAAATAGGATCTGTGTTTTAATCAGATTGGCTTAAAAACCTTCTGTGATCATTGGGTCTGTCTATAAAGAGTAAGTCTTAACTGTGAACTAAACAAAAAACTGCTCACTTTCTCTTCTGTCAACGAAATCTTGAACTTGTTTGAGATCAAATTTACAACCAACTTTCATCATCCCGTATCGTGATTGTATTCTAGTTACCGTTTCTTTATATTCAGTTGTAAACTTAGGCCATGATACACTCAACCCTCGTAATGTCTGAAAAAATAATTTATTAAAACTATTTTAAATTTTCTACAATTAAAGGAGCTAAATCTCTAACTCAATATCTTCCATAATATTTGAAATTTAAAATTACGAATTAGAATTCAACATTGGGTCATATCAATCAACATTGATGTTGTTATCTTGAAGTTCAAATATAAGATCCTAATATTTAATAATTAAAAAAACAATGAACGTTTTACAATCAGTACACGAGTCGTGTATTCTGTGGTTTCGGGCGCCATTTGTAACGAACAAAGAAAATATACCATGCAAGACAATGAAGAAGTAATTAGTAATAGCTGATTCATAAACGACAAAATAATAATTTTAAAAAGCCGCGTAAATTGGACTAAGCAGAGAAAATCCGACACGTAAGATGAAATCGAGAATTGATTATGGTCTGGATAACTTAATTAATGTCTAATTAATAATTAGGTAACATTTCAGGCCTAAAGAAAGACCTGCAATAGACTGATTTACCTCTTGCATAATGTATGTTTAGATCAATATCACACTTTAAAATTTTTATTATGACTACTAACCTATACTACAATTGATTACGTTGAATTATCAATAATTGGCTGTTTAATATGAATAACAAAAGCGTACAGCGTCATAAAGAACCTATGTAATCTTAAAGAGTACTTTATAGAAATGTAATCTTAAAGAGTACTTATAGAAATGTAATCTTAAAGAGTACTTATAGAAATGTAATCTTAAAGAGTACTTATAGAAATGTAATCTTAAAGAAACCTATTCCTTTTTTTAATTCCAAGGACAATGTACCTGTCGTTTTAATTCAGTGATTTTTTTCCTGACCAACCAGCCTCTCACGTGTCGTTGTATGATTATAGCATTTTTTTGGCGGTTTTGTTTATCAAGTGTGTGGGAATGGTAGGCTCTGAAACAATAAAAATATTTACATAATACTATATAATCAGAATATTATTTTAATCAAGTATAGGTCGCCGTTGCAAACAGTTTAAAGGTTCAAAATTTTGTCACAATTTATTCATTTGTTGACTTAAGCATGTGTATTGCTGCTAGACTGTGTTAATGAATAATCCTATTTTGTTATTAACTTAATGATAACAAGTGTCGCAATCTGGTTAAAACACAAATCCTATTTCGTTTCGTTTTTTATAGTTCAAAATTTCGTTTTACTTGTCTTTACTACACTAGGATCGAAAGTATAAAAAAAACGAAACGAAATATATACCATCAATGGCAACATCTTATTTCAGTCAGTAAAGGTATCATAGGGTTTCGGCGGTATGGAAATATCTCCAAAATATTTATCGTCTTTGTTACGGACGATCAAAATAATTGTTATTTTTGCCTTTTTATAATTCTTGAAATCCACAGTCCGAACGGACGTGCGGCCAGACTGACGATCAGTAAGGGGGTGCAGACAGTAGACGTATAAAAATTACTCACGCGAATAATTCAGCATGGGGTTTATCTACAGGTAATTTTCCCAGTCTTCGTTGTGAAAATCCACGTTTATTGAAGGATCTGAAATTTTAAAAAGTCAAACATTAATAGACATGCGTTCAAACTTAACGTTACCTACAGCTTTTTATATATCATTCCCCTCCTCTTTGTGCTTCTGTCAATGCTTCTGGGCTAATGAAATCGGGAATACGCCATGTAAGTGTGCTATGAGAGAAATGTAGCCAGGACAGTGGCGCTACAGTCTATACTCTTATATCGAATTCCAACTGTCAAGCGTTCTTTTACACGCACGGGACCTCGGGTTTTCGTCCCATCAGAACGACTAAACGTTGTCCCTTGCCACGCCTTCCGTCCTACACCACCGACAAGGGGGAAATCACGCCGAAAAAAAGGTCCAGATGAACCTTTTTCGCCAACCCAGGGATCAAACACGAGACCTCCAGGTTAGCGAGCCAACTTTTTACTCGCTGAGCCACGGTGGCTCCCTGGACAAATATTAAGGGTTTGAATCCTCGCTTATTACCCCAATGTCTGTGACGTACGTGATTGTTTTAATATCAGATATTGGCATAACAAAATACCTTGGTGGTGGTCTTTTTTCATCTAATCTCCAGATTCTGTATTCCTCCTCCCATAACCAAGTACTAGGTGGTGGAACAGGGTCTTTACTGTCGGTGACATCTTTTCTAAAACAGACAAAATGCATAACCAAATACAATTGAAATTAATGATGACACTTATGTCTCCTCCTGTCATGAAAATGTGTCTACCCGAGAATAACATATTGTATGGGTCTTTAGCAGTTGGAGAAAACCGGAGGACCAGACGAAAACCCACGAGGTTGGACAGGCGTCCCTACTCCGTGTCCGCTCGGTTAATAAAGACGGACATACGCCATACAGGGTGCTAAGATAGATATTTTGCCCGGACAGCGGCATTACGGCCTATTCGAATTCCATCTGCCAATGGACGTCAATGTGTACACGGGGCCTCGGGTTTTCGTCCTATCCGAATGACTAGAAACTGTCCTTTGCCAGGCCCTCCGTCCTACACCACCGATGACACTTAAGATTTAAGAACAGACTAAATGATTTTTCTTTTATTTGAAATAGAGAAATTGCAACACCCGATCTTTCAGGAACAATAAAAAAAAACATTCAAATAAAATAGAAGATACCTCATTTCATAAATGGAACCATATTTCGGATTACTGACATACTGTCTTGGTTTATATTGTAACCATTTCTGTTTAGGTACATATTTGGTATAATGAAGTTCTGAAATAAATAAATAACAAACGAATCAACTAAATTATTTGATAGATACTTCAAATGAATAGCTGCAATACGTAAACTTAACCCGCAATGCTCAGCATGTTCGTCAGATAATGAACAAACACAGAAAGTACTACTACGTAAACATAACGTTCGATGCGAAGGATGGTCAATATACCAGTAGATGTTGCCATCAATGACGTACAAGATAAGGTCCCTAAAATCTAAAATGCTTTCTTTCCATAATAAATGACACTAGATCGTTACACCAATTCATTCCTCCTGAATTAAACGAGAACCTTGAAAACTATAAACTCAAAAACATTAATGAATAAATTAACTCTTAAAGGTCCGAGACTGTACAGCGCTGTGGGCGCTTACGGTTGGTCCCCGGGTCCATTCACTTGTGTGTCTTATAGCAACATGTTTGTCTTGTGGAGTTTGTTTGTGTGTTCCTGATTTTCCGACGTGGTTTCCCCTTGTCAGTGGTGCAGAACGGAGGGCCTGACAAGGACAGCTGTCTAGTCCTTCGGATGAGACGAAAAACCGAGGTCCCGTGTATACATTGGAATGCACGTAAAAGATCCCTTGGCAGTTGGAATTCGATATAAGAGTAGACGATAGAACCGCTGCCCGGGCAAAATTTCCCTCATAGCACACTGTATGGCGTATGCCCGTCTTCATTAGCCCAGTATAGGAGCAGAACAGTAGGACGTTAAACCCCATTTCATTCATTCATTCATTGTTTGTGTGTAGTGCAGTCCTCCTGCACTTAGTATTTACCCAAATGTTGTCATATATTTATGAATTAATACCAGTCTAACCTATACGTTTATTGGTATTATCACTGAGTTTTAGTGGAGCTTCTTTCCAGGGTTTGGGTCGGGTCTGTAGTGGCTTAACTTTACGGTTACTGAGGGACCTGTGTAACGTTCTGGGTGGCGCAGTGGTCGCTGGTGAAAACCGCCCTCTCTGTAGTGGTGGTAGAATATTATTCGACTGAAAGGGAAATATTTTTGAGTTATATGAAATAATACAAATCTTCAGTGGGAATGTAAGGAAAGGAATGTGATTTACCGGCTCATCATTTTAAGACTAATTTGTATTTTATTTGTTACGTGTGCGGTGGAGAATTTTTCTGCCAATTCCTTTACGAGCCCAACCATTTTGTACACACGACATCGGTTTCTTGTCTCATCTGAACTAGTAGATATACTTTCTTTCCGACACACCCACCCTACAGCCACCGCAGCACCCGAGTGGAGTGGGAAAGTGGTAAAGGACAGTATTCGAAATATATTCTAGCCTTGTGTAAATTATACGATTAAGAGAATATATTTTTTGGATAATTTGCCAGTGCGGCAGTCCCAAAATTACATGAATTACTTGCAGTCAAGTTTCAAAGAAAGTGCGAAACATTCTTGAAAACCAATAACGTATCCCCTCCCCCTCACAAAATCTGATGATGAAAATAGCTTACCTGTACAATAGAAGTTGGTTCATTTGATTGATTTTCATTTGTATATTTGGTAACAGTTATTCCACTTTTTAATTTCGACCTGGAATCTCTATGGCAACCACTTCTATAAGTAACAGGTCGCGTAGTACCTGGTTTTGATGAACCGCCATGGGAACATGACGTATACCCGGTCCAACTCTTCTGAAAGAGTGTATGTTGCCGCATTAATTGTGCCTCATTCATTTTCTTTGGAATCTGAAATGAAATCAATTCCAAATGGCCCTAATAATGTTATTTTGACATTCTCAGAAAAATTAGCCCCACCAAATATGTAAACTGTCCAAATCCTATTGATATTTCAAGGGGTATTAATCGTCCCACAGAATTGTTTTCATCTGGAAGTATATTCCTAACGACTAATAAAAAAAATAAATTTGTATTTAAATACACACTGTCAACAGTGTACCAGTATTCACAATTGACACTGCAACCATAACCCAGAAATGGGGGGGGGGATCTTTTTTTCGTTTCCATCTTCCAAGCGTTCTTTTTCGTGCATGTCAACGTGTGCACAGGACCTCGCCCCCACCCCCGAGATGTAAGTAAGGTTAGGGCACGTGATTGTTGGCGAGATTGTTGGTTAGGGTTAGGGTAAGCATTAGAGCTAGGTCCAGGGTTGAAGTCAGGGTTGTGATTAGCGCTACCTTTGACCGGTACCCTCCCATTTCGCCTACGTCAAATTTCGACTACAGCTTATAACAACAAACTTAAAGTTGGCCATATCAAATAAACCTAAAGGTCAG